CTAGAAAAATACAACCTCCCAAGACTGACCAAGGAAGAAACACAAAAGTTAAACAAACCAATTACAAGCAAAGAAATTGAAACAGTAATCAAAAAACTACCCAAGAACAAAACCCCGGGGCCGGACGGATTTACCTCGGAATTTTATCAGACACACAGAGAAGACATAATACCCATTCTCCTTAAAGTGTTCCACAAAATAGAAGAAGAGGGAATACTCCCAAACTCATTCTATGAAGCCAACATCACCCTAATACCAAAACCAGGCAAAGACCCCACCAAAAAAGAAAATTACAGACCAATATCCCTGATGAATGTAGATGCAAAAATACTCAATAAAATATTAGCAAACAGAATTCAACAGTATATCAAAAGGATCATACACCATGACCAAGTGGGGTTCATCCCAGGGATGCAAGGATGGTACAACATTCGAAAATCCATCAACATCATCCACCACATCAACAAAAAGAAAGACAAAAACCACATGATCATCTCCATAGATGCTGAAAAAGCATTTGACAAAATTCAACATCCATTCATGATAAAAACTCTCAGCAAAATGGGAATAGAGGGCAAGTACCTCAACATAATAAAGGCCATATATGATAAACCCACAGCCAGCATTATACTGAACAGCGAGAAGCTGAAAGCATTTCCACTGAGATCGGGAACCAGACAGGGATGCCCACTCTCCCCACTGTTATTTAACATAGTACTGGAGGTCCTAGCCACGGCAATCAGACAAAACAAAGAAATACAAGGAATCCAGATTGGTAAAGAAGAAGTTAAACTGTCACTATTTGCAGATGATATGATACTGTACATAAAAAACCCTAAAGACTCCACTCCAAAACTACTAGAACTGATATCGGAATACAGCAAAGTTGCAGGATACAAAATCAACACACAGAAATCTGTAGCTTTCCTATACACTAACAACGAATCAATAGAAAGAGAAATCAGGAAAACAATTCCATTCACCATTGCATCAAAAAGAATAAAATACCTAGGAATAAACCTAACCAAGGAAGTGAAAGACTTATACTCTGAAAACTACAAGTCACTCTTAAGAGAAATTAAAGGGGACACTAATAAATGGAAACTCATCCCATGCTCATGGCTAGGAAGAATTAATATCGTCAAAATGGCCATCCTGCCGAAAGCAATATACAAATTTGATGCAATCCCTCTCAAATTACCAGCAACATTCTTCAATGAATTGGAACAAATAATTCAAAAATTCATATGGAAACACCAAAGACCCCGAATAGCCAAAGCAATCCTGAAAAAGAAGAATAAAGTAGGGGGGATCTCACTCCCCAACTTCAAGCTCTACTACAAAGCCATAGTAATCAAGACAATTTGGTACTGGCACAAGAACAGAGCCACAGACCAGTGGAACAGATTAGAGACCCCAGAAATTAACCCAAACATATATGGTCAATTAATATTTGATAAAGGAGCCATGGACATACAATGGCAAAATGACAGTCTCTTCAACAGATGGTGCTGGCAAAACTGGACAGCTACATGTAGGAGAATGAAACTGGACCATTGTCTAACCCCATATACAAAGGTAAACTCAAAATGGATCAAAGACCTGAATGTAAGTCACGAAACCATTAAACTCTTGGAAAAAAACATAGGCAAAAACCTCTTAGACATAAACATGAGTGATCTCTTCTTGAACATATCTCCCCGGGCAAGGAAAACAACAGCAAAAATGAGCAAGTGGGACTACATTAAGCTGAAAAGCTTCTGTACAGCGAAAGACACCATCAATAGAACAAAAAGGAACCCTACAGTATGGGAGAATATATTTGAAAATGACAGATCTGATAAAGGCTTGACGTCCAGAATATATAAAGAGCTCACACGCCTCAACAAACAAAAAACAAATAACCCAATTAAAAAATGGGCAGAGGAACTGAACAGACAGTTCTCCAAAAAAGAAATACAGATGGCCAAGAGACACATGAAAAGATGCTCCACATCGCTAATTATCAGAGAAATGCAAATTAAAACTACAATGAGGTATCACCTCACACCAGTAAGGATAGCTGCCATCCAAAAGACAAACAACAACAAATGTTGGCGAGGCTGTGGAGAAAGGGGAACCCTCCTACACTGCTGGTGGGAATGTAAATTAGTTCAACCATTGTGGAAAGCAGTATGGAGGTGCATCAAAATGCTCAAAACAGACCTACCATTTGACCCAGGAATTCCACTCCTAGGAATTTACCCTAAGAACGCAGCAATCAAGTTTGAGAAAGACAGATGCACTCCTATGTTTATCGCAGCACTATTTACAATAGCCAAGAATTGGAAGCAACCTAAATGTCCATCTGTAGATGAATGGATAAAGAAGATGTGGTACATATACACAATGGAATACTACTCAGCCATAAGAAGTGGAAAAATCCAACCATTTGCAGCAACATGGATGGAGCTGGAGAGTATTATGCTCAGTGAAATAAGCCAAGCGGAGAAAGAGAAATACCAAATGATTTCACTCATCTGAGGAGTATAGGAACAAAGGAAAAACTGAAGGAACAAAACAGCAGCAGAATTACAGAACCCAAAAATGGACTAACAGGTACCAAAGGGAAAGGAACTGGGGAGGATGGGTGGGCAGGGAGGGATAAGGGGGGGGAAGAAGAAGGGGGGTATTAAGATTAGCATGCATGGGGGGGAGGGAGAAAGGGGAGGGTGGGCTGCACAACACAGAGAGGACAAGTAGTGACTCTACAACATTTTGCTAAGCTGATGGACAGTAACCGTAATGTGGTTGTTAGGGGGGACCTGATATAGGGGAGAGCATAGTAAACATAGTATTCTTCAGGTAAGTGTAGATTAAAAATTTAAAAAAAAAAAAAAAAAAAAAAAAAGAAAGAAAAGGGGGATTACTCCTTAACAGGATAAAACTATTGGTAAATCAAAGATCAACGCATGCTTTAAATATCCTTAATGTTGATCACTTAAAGGGTGTCAGATGATCAGCTATGGAGGTACTCTTTTCTGATAATATTCCTTTCTCTTAATTAAAAAAAAAAAAAAAAAAAGTTACTGTGTGCTGACCTCCAATGAGTTCTGCACAGTGGTATAGAGGGCATGTCAAAGTGTGGGCAAAGGGTCTGTTTGTTTCTACGCAGAAGATCAAGGCCTAGCTTGGATACCCAGAAAATGAACTAAGATACGATATGAGGAGGAGCTTCCGGCATCAGCACTCTCTGGAGGACTCGTGCCGGGGGATGATCATCAAAAAGCCTCCACAGGGATCCGGACGATGCTGCGGTTGTGGCTGCATCCAGCCCACCATCTCCTGGACTTGCCATAAGAAGGAGGAGGGAGATGTCTAGGCTGGCATGTGCATACAGTGAGACAACGAATTTGACTGGATCTGTACTGTTGGAACTCAACCAGGAGTTGGGAGGGGTGCAAGTTGTAGCACCCCAAAATCTCATGACTATAGACTATCTATGGTTAAAAGAACATATGGGATGTGAACAGATCCCAGAAATGGGCTGCTTTAATTTGTCTGATGGTTCAAGTACAGTTGGAAAATATCCATCATATCATAGATAAATTTTCACAAATGCCTAGGGTGCCTAAATGGTTTTCTTGGCTTCACTGGAGATGGCTGGTAATTATAGATTTGCTTTGTTTATGTCACCGTATTCCTATTATGTTAATATGTGTGTGCAAATTAGTTAGTAGTTTAAAACCTATACATACTTAAGGTACTATACAAGAAGATATGTCAAAGAAATAATCAATCCTCCCAAGTTTCCTTCATATGCTACATCTATAGCTTTTCTTCTTCCTTCCTAATTACAAACCTTAAATAGAATTCGTGCCTCATATCGAATTTACCGAGTATCATAATTCCTCCAGGTGGTAAAGATACCTCGAGACAAGTGCTGGGCATAGAAGCCACAGGGCATAAATCTGCAAAGAAGTAAAAAGCTAACCTTTGCAAACAATATGGCTTCTCTCTCACTTACCAACTTTACATTTCCCTGTATGGCCCCGGAAGATGACTGGTTAGCCAGAGACGGGTAAGATTCCTCAAGGGAGGAACAACCTAAGACAGGCACAGTCGCAGGGGGGCCATCAGGTGAGAATTTGGGGATCAACAGAGGTGAGGCTCAGAACCTCACCCCCCCTGCTTTGAGAGAAATCTTCTGCATCCGTGGATGTCTTGCTGCCCTTGTCTAGCCTGGATTAATACTTAGTCCATAGGCACACACCTGATCATCTGATCATCTACATTTGCCTTCTTACAGCACTAAACTATGTTTTCTACCTTTATCTTGCATCTACCTACCACTTCAGCATTTTATTAAAAATAAAAATAATAATAATAATAGGAGAAATGTGGGATCAACATATAAATCAAGTACAAAAATCAAATGAATATTCATATTTGACCTGATGGTTTATAGGTCATATTGCATGATCAAAACCGAAAGTTTCTGTGATGAATGCCCTTGTACTGTTCACCATGTAAGAATTTATTCACTCTGTAAGAATTCGTTCACCATGTAAGAACTTGTTCATTATGCTTCAGAAGATTGGAGACTGATGAGAATTAGGCTTGAGATGGATTAATGATTGTACATTGAGCGTTGACCCCCCTATACTGAATTTTATTGTTGTTAACAACCATTTGATCAATAAATATGAGAGATGCCCTCTCAAAAAAAAAAAATCCGTTAATATAAGACTAGACATGTCAATCTGAAGCAACTGGAGTCAGGGCAAACAAACTTGAAACTGCAAAAATATAAAGGAATAACTTAGTCGTTCTCTCATACTATTCAGGTGTCTGATTACGTCAGTGATTTTTCTTTCTGGTGTTCCATGATCCTACATCCCTTTTTCCTAGTTGTCTCTAATTCACCATAATTCTTTAATATTTCATGTGAATTAAATCTGCTGGAGGTTTTTAAACAGAAGATGAAATGGTGACCCACCCAGCAGATACCCCTTACCTACCTGTGGCTCTGTGTGAGTTGGAGAGGGGGACTGATGCCTCAGCAAGAGCTGCAAGGGTAGCCAGCACTGAGGTGGTAGAATTTGAGAAGTGTACTGCTGAGGAAGCATGAGGGGTACCTATTTCAGTAAAAAAGGCAAATGAGCTCCGGCAGAGAAAATTACTCGAGATAAACTAAAGACAGATAAAATCAAAATCTCAGTTTTTTACTCTAATGTCCTTAATCATGCTAATACAAACTGATATAAATGAATTACCATTGTATTAAAAATAAAACACTTTTAAGGTTTAAAAAGTTTTCCCTTTAAAGTGGACTGAAGTAATATGCTTAGTATAGGGCCACTACATTCCCCTCATTCGGTCCTTCTCTTAGCACTGCCAGTGTGAAGCATTAATAGCCAACAAACCACGAGTACCATCCATTCCCTAGGCTGCCTGTCAGAGCACTCCTCAGCAGCAGGTGGTGAGCATACAGAGCATGCTTCTTCCCAAGCTGAGCAGTGGTGAGGGAATAGGCCCCTCCAAGGCTGTACGCAACCATACTACCTCTATTCAACAGATAAATAAGTATGAAGAATAGGACTGCCCTTCTAGTTGCAAGGGCAGTTAAAAACCTGATGCATACTGAATGTTAAAGGGTAGTACAACTGATTAATGCTAAAAAAATAATGACCTACTTTAGTTATGTCATGATGCAATTAAAAAAAAAAACTTTGTTAAGAAAAGACCAAGAAAAGGACAGAGGCAGAAAAGGGAAGGAGGGAGGGAGAGAGAGGTGGCAGTGTTTGCTGCATGAGGTAGTAAGTCACTAGGTGGATCTGGAGCTTAAGAAAGTGGCATGGTAGGGATACATACATATTTAGGCAACAGCATATTCTGAAATCCCACTGTACTGCATCACTCAAAGTAACTGACTTCCATGTATTATAAAAATATTTGATCTAAAAAGAAAGTCTGTTAATAACCTATTTTTTTTATTTTGGTATCATTAATGTACAATCACATGAGCAACATTGTGGTTACTATATTCCCCCCATTCTCAAGTCCCCATGACATACCCCATTACAGTCACTGTCCATCAGCGTAGTAAGATGCTATAGAGTCACTACTCATCTCCTCTATGCTATACTGCCTTCCCTGTGATCCCCACTATGTTATGTGTGCTAATCGTAATGGCCCTTATTTCCCTTATTGCTCCCTTCCCACCCATCCTCCCCTGTCCCTTTCCCTTTGGTAACTGTTAGTCCCTTCTTGGATTCTGTGAATCTGCTGCTGTTTTGTTCCTTCAGTTTTTGCTTTGTTCTTATATTCCACAGATGAGTGAAATCATTTGGTATTTGTCTTTCTCCGCCTGGCTTATTTCACTGAGCATAATACCCTCTAGCTCATCCATGTTGTTGCAAATGGTAGGATTTGTTTTCTTCTTATGGCCGAATAATATTCCATTGTGTATATGTACCACATCTTCTTTATCCATTCATCTATTTATGGACACTTAGGTTGCTTTCATACCTTGGCTACTGTAAATAGTGCATATCTTTTTGAACCTGAGAAGTTGTTTTCTTTGGGTAAATTCCTAGGAGTGGAATTCCTGGGTCAAATGGTAGTTCTATTTTTAGTATTTTGAGGAACCCTCCATACTGCTTTCCACAATGGTTGAACTAGTTTACATTCCTGCCAGCAGTGGAGGGTTCCCCTTTCTCTTCATCCTCACCAGAATTTGTTGTTCCTAGTCTTTTCGATACTGACCATCCTAACAGGTGTGAGGTGATATCTCGTTGTGGTTTTTAATCTGCATTTCCAATTTTCAAATATCAAATTATTTCATTATTTGATAATTAGTGATGTGGAGCATCTTTTCATGTGCCTGTTAGCCACCTGAATTTCTTCTTTGGAGAAGTGTCTGTTCATATCCTCTGCCATTTTTTAAATAGGGTTATTTGCTTTTTGGGTGTTGAGGTGTGTGAGTTCTTTATATATTTTGGATATTAACCCCTTGTCAGATATGTCATTAACAAATATATTCTTCCATACTGTAGGATGCCTTTTTGTTCTGCCGATGGTGTCCTTTGCCATACAGAAGCTTTTTAGCATGATGTAGTCCCATTTGTTCATTTTTTATTTTGTTTCCCTTGCCTGAGGAGATGCTTCCAGGAAAAGTTGCTCATGTTTATATTCAAGAGAGTTTTGCCTATGTTTTCTTCTAAGAGTTTTATGGTTTCATGACTTACATTCAGGTCTTTGATCCATTTTGAGTTTACTTTTCTGTATGGGGTTAGACAATAATCCAGATTCATTCTTTTGCATGTAGTGGTCCAGTTTTGCCAACACCAATTGTTAAAGAGGCTGTCATTTCCCCATTGTAAATCCATGGCTCTTTTATTGTATATTAATTGACCATATATGCTTGGGTTTATATCTGGGCTCTCTAGTCTGTTCCATTGGTCTATGGGTCTGTTCTTGTGCCAGTATCAAAATGTTTTGATCACTGTGGCTACCTATTCTCTTTTATCTGCATGCTATTCTTACAGCTAAGTTCCAAGAGGAAGGTACATTAGATTTGGCAATAGATATGCCTAACTTTATGAACCAGAAGTATTATTCAACAATTTTGCATAAATCTAACTTTTATAAAATGAAATGCATCCTCCTATATCTTTCATTTTAATTTCAGAGATACTTATTGTGCCAGTGAATTTTTGCCAAATCCACCTTTCTTTGCCCTGCCTTGTGATACTGAAACCAGATCCTCTAAACATTTCTTGTCAGCTGGTATGAGATAAAATTTTGTCGTACAAAAGTAGTAGTTCCTATTTTGGATATTCCTGTATTCTTTAGGGTTTGCCTCACCTCTTAGTAGCTAATCCTCTGTTACTAATAATTCTTTATAAATTATACATAAAAGTTTAGAAATTTTATATATAGATAGATGTTATATATCTATATATAATCTATATATAATCTATAATATATATAATACAATTATATACATTGCCATGTAAATTTGTCACCTTACTGGACTTCAACTGATATACTTACCTTCTTTTTAAATGTGCTCTTAAGCTTTCTCACTACTTATGATTAAAGATTCTTTCCTTTCTTCTATCAAAAGTCAGTTTTCTGTAAAATACTTAAAAATACTTAAGGAAACTCCTATTTAACACTCCTTATAACAAATGCTTTCAGAGAACAAGGAATCCTTTTTTAATATGATTAATCTAAGTAGTAATTTAACTGGTTTATAAATTTAAATTTCAGAAGATTTTCCTTAAAAAAGGTACAGTAACTTACTGGTACAGTACTCCTCATAGCTGCAAACTTCAAAGCTTCTGGATGATGACTGTGGGAGTGGGGATGAGGGTGGAAATAGTGCTGATATCCCCATCTTATTCTACTTCTCTCATAAAATATTCAGGGAACCAATAGTCTGAGTGGAATATTGCCTGACATGCAGAAAGGAGCCTATGACTAATGGCTTTTTGCACAGAAAGATTCAGCTGTAGCCTATTCCCTAATTTTCCTGCTTAGTTCATGCTTCTCTTATCACTCAGTCTATCATGCCAAATGATGACATAAGAAACAGTAAATGAAACAAACAAGGAACAAGCAAGTTTTGTACACATACATATATCCCTCATGGAGCTTAGAATATATGTGACAATAAGTCACTAGCAAGCAATAAACAAGGCTGTTATTATTTTACCACAGTTAAAAATATAGACAGACACACCACACACACACACACACACACACACACACACACACACACACACACACACGGTTGTTTTAATTAAAGCTCAGGTAGGCCAAACATCAGGTAGGCCACCCAGCAAAAGGAGAATAGATGGGTATAACTATTTAATGAGAAATGCATTATATATATTTTTAGTATATGATAGTTCTAACCTAAGGGTGCTCTTCCTTTTGATTTAAACATAATTTTTAAAAATTAGGTTTAGTATTCTGATACACACAGTTGAAAATGTAGAGACAATGCAAATAACCCCTTAAGAATTATCACAGTGAATTCTAGGAAAATGAAGTACTTTATTTTTAAATAATGTTAATTATTGCTTAATATAATAAGTGTTAATTGCTTCCTTCTATTCAATATAAGATTCAACATCAAGTGAAGTAAAATGTGTATAGATTCTTGTCTTTTTAGAAGACAAGTGGCATTATCAGTGACCACCCCTGTTACTATCCAGGATGTGGCTTAAATAAACTCTTCAGGATTTGGGGGAATGTGGTATGGTAGTAAGTTAAACAATCTCAGTGAGTTAATGAAAACTAGATCAAGAAAAACTAATTTGCCTAAGGTCATACAATTAGTTAGAGCCCAGATTAGAACCTAATTCATTGGATTCCAAAATCTGTATTTTTTAACTTTCTGTCATTAAAGTATCATTAAATACAATCTTATGTTGGTTTCAAATGTACATCACAGTGGTTCAACAGTCCCTGTGATAACTTATATTGTGATCGTAAATTATTGTGCCCTTTTATCCCCCGCTGCCGCCCCCTCCTCTTCCTTCCCCTTTGAAACCAGTGGTCACTTTTCAGTGTCTGAATTTAATGCTGTTTTGTTCCTTCTGATTTGCTTTGTTTTTATATTCCACAAATAAGTGAAATCATGGTATTTGTCTTTCTACACGTGGCTTATTTCAGTGAACATAATACTCTCTAGATCCATCTATGTTGCACATGGCAGGATTTTTCTTTTTATGGCTGACCAAAACCGGTACTTTTTTTAAACTTAAGATATCATTGATATAAAATCTTAAAAAAATTTTTTATATTAAAGTATTATTGACATACACTCTTATGAAGGTTTCACATGAAAAAACAATGTAGTCACTACATTTACTCATATTATCAAGTCCCCACCCATACCCCAATGCAGGCACTGTCCATCAGTGTAGTAAGATGCCACAGATTCACTGTTTGCCTTCTCTATGCTACACAGTTTTCCCCGTGAGCCCCCACACTATGTGTACTAAACATAATAGCCCTCAATCCCCTTCTCCCTTCCTCCCAACCCGCCCTCCCACAACCCTCCCCTTTGGTAACCACTAGTCCCTTCTTGGAGTCTCTGAGTCTGCTGTTATTTTGCTCTTTCAGTTTTGCTTCGTTGTTATACTCCAAAATGAGGGAAATCATCTGGCACTTGTCTTTCTCCACCTGGCTTATTTCACTGAGCATAATATCCTCTAGCTCCATACATGTTGTTGCAAATGGTAGGATTTATTTCTTTCTTATGGCTGAATAGTATTTTATTGTGTGTATGTACCACCTCTTCTTTATCCGTTCATCTACTGATGGACACTTAGGTTGCTTCCATATCTTGGCTATTGTAAATAGTGCTGCAGTGAACATAGGGGTGCATATGTCTTTTTGAGTCCGAGAAGTTGTATTCTTTGGGTAAATTCCAAGGAGTGGGACTCCCGGGTGAAATTGTATTTCTATTTTTAGTTTTTTGAGGAACCTCCATATTGCTTTCCACAATGGTTGAACTAACTTACATTCCCACCAGCAGTGTAGGAGGGTTCCCCTTTCTCCACATCCTCACCAGCATTTGTTGTTCTTAGTCTTTTTGATGCTGGCCATTCTTACTGGTGTGAGGTGATACCTTATTGTGGTTTTAATTTGCATTTCTCTGATGATTAGTGATGTGGAGCATCTTTTCATGTGTCTGTTGGCCATCTGAATTTCTTCTTTGCAGAACTGTCTCTTCGTATCCTCTGCCCATCTTTTAATTGGGTTATTTGCTTTTTGGGTGTTGAGGTGTGAGTTCTTCATATATTTTGGATGTTAACCCCTTGCTGGATATGTCATTGACAAATATATTCTCCCATACTGTAGGATGTCTTTTTGTTCCGTTGATGGTGTCCTTTGCTGTACAGAAACTTTTTAGTTTGATGTAGTCCCATGAGTTCATTTTTGCTTTTGTTTCCCTCGCTCGAGGAGATGCGTTCAGGAAGAAGTTGTTTATGCTTATATTCAGGAGATTTTTTGCCTATGTTGTCCTCTAAGAGTTTTATGGTTTCATGACTTACATTTAGGTCTTTGATTCATTTTGAGTTTACTTTTGTGTATGGGGATAGACAATAATTCAGTTTCATTCTCTTGCATGTAGCTATCCAGTTTTGCCAACATCAGTTGTTGAAGAGGCTGTCATTTCCCCATTGTATGTCCATAGCTCCTTTATTGTATATTAATTGACCATATATGCTTGGGTTTGTATCAGGGCTCTCTAGTTTGTTCCACTGGTCTATGGTTCTGTTCTTGTGCCAGTACCAAATTGTCTTGATTACTGTGGCTTTGTAGTAGTGCTTGAAGTTGGGGAGCATAATCCCCCCAGCTTTATTCTTCCTTCCATTGATATACAATCTTATGAAGGTTTCGTATGAGCAACATTGTGGTTTCAACATTCACCCATATTATCAAGTTTCCCCCCACCCCACTGCAGTCACTGTCCATCAGTGTAGTAAATGCTAGTCATTACTTGTCTTCTCCATGCTGTATTGCCTTCCCCATCACCTACCTATACTGTGGGTGCTAATTATAATGCCCCTTAATCCTCTTCTCCCTTCCTCCCCATCCATCCTCCCCAGCCCGTTTCCTTTGGTAACTGCCAGTCCCTTCTTGGAGTCTTTGAGTCTGCTGCTGTTTTGTTCCCTGTTTTGCTTTGTTGTTATACTCCACAAATGAGGGATATCATTTGGTACTTGGCCTTCTCCACCTGGTTTATTTCACTAAGCCTAATACCCTCTAGCTCCATCCATGTTGCTGCAAATGGTAGGACTTGTTCTCTTTTTATGGCTGAATAATATTCCATTGTGTACATGTACCACCTCTTTTCTATCCATTCATCTACTGATGGACACTTAAGGTTGCTCCCATACCTGGGCTACTGTAAATAGTGCTGTGATAGAGGGGTGCATATGTCTTTTTGAACCAGGGATCTTGTTTTCTTTGGGTAAATTCCTAGGAGTGGAATTTCTGGGTCAAATGGTATTTGTATTTTTAGTTTTTTGAGGAACCTCCATATTGCTTTCCACAATGGTTGAACTAATTTACATTCCCATCAACAGTGTAAGAGTCTTCCCCGTTCTCTTCATCCTCACCAGCATTTGTTGTTTGTCTTTTGAATGTTGGCCATCTTAACTGGTGTGAGGTCATATCTCATTGTAGTTTTAATTTGCATTTCTCTGATGATTAGCGATGTGGAGTACCTTTTCATGTGCCTGCTAGCCATCTGAGTTTGTTCTTAGGAGAAGTGTCTGTTGAGATCCTCTGTGCATTTTTTAATTGGGTTATTTGTTTTTTGGGTGTTGAGACATGTGAGCTCTCTATGTATTCTGGATGTTAACCCCTTCTCAGATAAGTCATTTATGATTATATGCTTCTATACTGTAGGATGCCTTTTTGTTCTGCTAATGGTGTCCTTTGCTGTACAGAAGCTTTTTATGTATGGGGATAGACAATAATCCAGTTTCATTCTCTTGCATGTAGCTGTCCAGTTTTGCCAACACCAGTTTTTAGTTTGATGTAGTCCCACTTGCTCATTTTTGCTTTTGCAATACCTGTACTCTTTATGAACCAATATAAAGCTCTTTATATTTCACATCAGAGAGCATTTAGTGATTCTACAGAAAATGAAATTCACCTTCATAAATTTGTTTTGCCCTGATTAATGTTTAAATTAGTCTGCCTTCCCAAATCACTACAGTTTGACAGTGCCACTGATGATGACTGGTATCTTTAGTCACACATGGAAAATTGAAAGCAAACTTTGTAATCTGAATTTGGTATAAAAAATATCAACTTAAATGATAATACTAGGACACTTTCAGTTAATTCTTAAAATATTACTGGATGAAAAAAAAATTACTGGATGATGGGAAGTAAGAAGGATGCCCACCATTCAGGAAAATTCTTTAACCCAGTTGAATAACATGAAATGAATTTGTCTTATGAGTTTTCTCCTTTCTTTTATTTGCACTCATTAAAAATGAGGTAGGCCAATCCCCTAAAGGTAGATAGCTAGGTAGAACTGTTTCACAAGTAAGATGACATTGGAGAGATCAGCTCTATTATGTGATGGTTTGGCAATTTCAATTTGTAGTTGTCAACATGCAGATGTAAGAAAGAAGAGGTGGTTTGCCAAAAGCACATGAAGAGCGTGATACAGGAACCAAGCTGAGTCAGCCTAGAGGAACCAAGGCTAAGAGTCCCTCTTCTAAATATCTTCAGCCTATCATTTTAGTTCAGAATATGGAGATTCCAACCCTAGCTCTTTATACTTTGTGAACAGTAACTGTATTGGCATCTAAAGCCTTTGGATTATAAAAGCACTTGCTCTAATTAGTGTAACCTGAACCACACAAATACAAAAAGCTGTAAATGTTCTGATTACATGTTACATATATTTAATCTAAATTTTTTTGAATCATCAGCTGAAGTCAAAGTTTAGTGATTTTAAAAAGTTGATTGCCTATAAAATGAAGGTCACTACTGCCCCCTTATGGGCAAGACAGACTCAACTTCCACTGAGAACTTGTATTTTAATTTAATCCTATTATTGAAGCCCTGCTATAAAATGGACACTGAAATATAAAATCTCAAATTCTCACAACAACCTCATAAAACAGGTATTATTATGTCTCAATTTTATAGATACGTAAAGGCGGCTTAGAGAAGTCAGTAGTTTTCACACAGTCAACCATCTAGTCAATTTAATAAATCAGTATTTATTAAATTGACACAACATGTTTCTATGTTGTGTATATGCTGTTTCTATCTTACCATGCTACCTCTCAATAATAACACCTCATTAAAGATCTTCCTTTGATATTATGTAAACTTTAATAACTACAGTTTGTACAGTTGCTTATTTTTAAAGGAAAGTCAGAAATAGAAAAAAAAAAAAGTCAGTTGGAATACTTATTTAAATGAAGACACAAGTTCCCTCATTGTAAAACAAGTATTTATAAGGAGATGCTGAAAATAAGCTCAGTTTGTTCCTTTTTAGGTAGATTATTTTTATTAAAAACATACAGGTCTCACCTGAAACCAATATAAGATTGTAAATCAACGATACTTCAATTAAAAAAAATACAGGTCTCAAAAGATCAATACCAAGTGTTTGTCTCCATTTTGCTGTTATATGTGTTCTCAAAAATAAACTGAGATTCTGATACTTTATTCAAATAATCACACATACCTCTTTTATAAAAGCACTCTAACAATGACTTACATTTATTCAGCTTTATTACTGCTTTAGACTATGAATATTTAACTATTTTTCATAGCAATACCATAGTGAAGCGCCCTTATATTTTCATTTTGGGGTCAGGCATAACCTTTCAAGAAATTCATCTTTAGAATCTTTTCCTTTTAACACAGTAAACACTCATGGATAATCCCTACATATAATCTTCCCATTCCCAAGAACAAATAAATGCATTAGCTCTAAAGTCTCTTATAAATCTTTTATTTTGGGAATATTTTAATAAAGGAGTAGATACCAGGTAGGGTCTCTATTGATCTCTTAGGAAAACAGGGGGTTCTGTTCATTTTAAGTCTAAAATAAATGCCACCTTATCAGAATATTACCTGAGGTTGTTTTGGTGTTGGCTGAAGAAACAAGGCTAGCAAGGTTGACAACTTCAGATGTGAAGATGAATGGGGGGGTCACAGTCACAGGGTTGGCTCTCTTGGGATTAGCATGCACCTGGTTCTGCATTGCTTCCTACAAAACAAGGCAGGACATTTCAAAGTCAGATCACTTATTAGCTTTGGTTACACAGTTAGTGACCAGCACATACCTCACCCCACCGACAATGCACCGCTCTATCAAGCAGAACTAGTTCCAGTACACAATGTCCCAGGGAGTTCAGAGTTCTCATCAAAACTACTGTTTTTTTTCAGACCAGGGAACAGAGATGTTAGATTGCTTTTCCAAGCTTATTTCTACATTAGAAAAAAAATGTATTACTTGCAAAAACTTCTAGACAATTCATTTAACTTCTCTGTTTTAACTTGAAACATGTTTTAATTTGAAAATGAGAGGAGTGGCCTAAAAAGTAATTTCTAGCACTAATATTCCATGATCAGTTATCTACACACCAATATGTAGCAGGAGATCCCTACAGAGAATCTACAGAGAATAATAATCTCCAGAGTTTTATCCAGAGTTTTACTTGTTCCATTATGCTATTGAAGAAGTTCCTAAGAGAATATATAACAAGCAAATACATGAGAACCACATTTTAAACTCGTTTCATATGCTGCACCTCTGCTTCCAAAGATATTTGTACAATTTCTGTATAAAGATGCTTATCTCTGTTTTATTTTTTAACTTCCACAAGCAGTTTTCTACAAACATGATCACTAAAAAGGTCCAATTATGAAAGGGCCCTGAGAAGTTGAAGAGGATAAGCAGTTTATAGGGAACCATCTGTCAGGAAAAACCAACCAACCAACCACTGAAAATGCAGCAGAAATGGCTATTTTTTATATATAATTGGATTTGACTAAGAGCTTCAGTTGAAACAGATTATCCATTTTCTGGTTACTGTTTAATTCCTTCCTGAATTGGCCCCATCTTGTTTCTTCTTCATATTCTTCCTTAATTAAAGCCCTCATTGGCTCTTGCCTAGCCTAATGAAAGTCACTATATGGTTTTTTAGCACTGTCTTCTCTCCCCAGTCTGTATACCATGCTCCAAATTATCATCTTTTTTTAAAAAAAATCATACCAATCCTCTGTTTAAAAGCACCTATTAGATTCCCATTGCCCCCCAAATAGTTCAAACTCCTTTGCAGGTCATGTAACATCCCTACATTCAGAACCCAGCCTCTCAAGTCTCAGCTCCTGAAACTCCATTTCTCTTGCTGAATCTTTAGGCACAGAACTATTTCTTTCCTGAACATTCCATGTCCTTTCACACTTCAGTCTTCTCTTTTTCTAGAATATCATTTTCTCACTTTGTCCACTTTTCTTCCAAAATTCAGTTCAGATTCCAAATATACCTCCTAATACTTGCCTTAAGTATCATTAATACTCTTTCTGTGCTCCTGTAACACTTGCTAGATATCTGCTTATCACTGTAGTATTGAAATGCTTTGTTTCTAGTCTTTACCTCCATGGCACTGTAAACTCTCCAAAAGCAGGGCCATGTCCTATTAATTTTTGTATCCCTCATCCTGTTATTCCCTGACATACAAGTGCTGGCTTAAAAAATTAATGGATGAAATCATCACAGCTAGTTTTTAATTCTGAGATGGCTTCCTTATGACTCATGCTCTACAGTTATACATACTGTCTCACATCAGCTCATATACATTCAGAAAACATAAAGAGGCTTTAAATATAGTTTTGAGACAAGTTTAATTAGAAAGGGATATACTCATGAAGAAAAAAATCATTCTAAAGCCAAATAAATCTTGCTTTTGTAGTGGCCACAATACTGCTTCAATCATCATGAATAACTCAGGGTTTTATAGAATGGTATTAAAAAAAAAAGACACTAATGACACTGAGTCATAAGATTTAGACTTATGAGAAGTACTATTTTGATAAGATAATTTAGCTTTGACTCAGCACCTAGAAAAAATCCTTAACTTCAACTGAAGTATGCTCTGGGGGTATATAAAGAGCCAGACCTGAAGGATGACCAGAATCTCAGCATTGTTTTTCTCCAGGGCTATGTCAAAGGCAGATTTATCAAACTTGCTGAAAGCATGGACATCAGCTCCACATTTGATAAGTAGCTCTACAACATCTCGATGGTGGTGCTCTGTGGCCCAATGCAGAGCTGTCATCTTCAGCATGTCCTTGGCATTCACATCTGCACCATTCTGTTATAGAAAAGTAATTTTTTCAGACACTGGTTACACCAGCACAGGTGCAAGATCTCATCACCAAATAAAGAGGAATTCCATGGAGACTACACATATTCAAATTTAGAACACATTTAAGAAATATCAAAGGGAAAACACTCCTCAAACTTTCCTAAATGCAGAAAGACATAATGCTTTCAATGAGTGGGTCTTCAAAAGACATCACTTGGAAATTATAACAGATGGGAGTGGAAGAGGAAAAGAACAGATTTTGTTGCATTTATTAACAGAGCTGAGTGCCTGAAAAAAATCAGCATAAGTGCAGAGAACACTTGCAGAAAGGGAATGAAGAAAAATCAATAAAGTCTGTTTAGCCTTTAAAAGATTAGAAAACAAAATCCTCATAGCCATTATAACTTGTGAAAGAGATGCAAATCAATGCTATAAACTGTCCTAAACTTACCATGTGTTTAAGTAAGAAAACAGTGAGGTGGATGTCTTTTTTACAATATTTACCCACCACTATTCTTGTTTTACCCTAACGAGGAGTTCCACGATGTGTGCATGTCCATCAGCTGCAGCCATGTGCAAGGGGGTCCTGTCCACTTTGGTCCGGGCATCCCTGCTAACGCCTGCTCGAAGGAGCACTTCTGCTGTGGAATAATGGCCATACTGCGCTGCAAGGTGGAGGGGTGATGTTCCAAGCTGTGGGAAAATAATACTCACTGAATATCAACTGTGTCCAGAGTTATCATTACTGAAGAGACACAAGAATCTGGTTGGGCAGAGAGGATTGAAGAAATGACTTAATTAAAAAATTAAACACTAATTGGCAAACAAATATACCACCAATTAAATAAGTGCTAAGCATAAAGGATTAAGGTTAGATGGATTTTATTACATAGGTTTGCCAAAGGGACATGAATTAAGCAGGGGTTAGAAAAATGGATAGACAAGAGCATTCTGAGTCAGGGATAAAGGGAAGAGATAGGTTCAAAACAATTCTTAGGAGAAGGCAGACACTGGAATTTTGGGTGCAGATCTAACTGGCTGGAATGTGAGTTTGTGGCCACAGTAACGCAAAGCAGAAAGACTGATGTGATGCAGAGGCAATAAACATTTAACAATAGTTTGTCAATAGCAATAAGCAAGTCTGTACCATCTCAAAGTAAATCTTGTAAGAGTTATTTATCAGCATCAACTTTGGCCAGAGACTTAGTCCTTTCTTTGTGTTATGCTATGGTAAGCCTATGTTGTTTATTCTTTGCTTTTCACATATTCAGCTTCTCTGCCTTGACTGGATTTAATCCACATTGCTCTTTGCAGATCTATTTATAGAAATGTTCATCTCATGGGTTTCCTTTTCTTCCCTTTTGTGAAGTGCTAAGAACCTGCAGGTCTCTGAAGTTATGAATTAATTACCTCAGAATAGAGGACACTGGTTCACAGAGTTATTAAAATTAGGTGATGCGTACAAAATCTCTGAATGCTAAGCAAACCTACATTATGACCTAGACCTGGATTCCTCTGCTCTCCAGGGTGGCTGCTTAAGGCTCATGAAATTACACCTTCTTCTTTAATGTTTTTTAATGGTGGTAAAGGAAACAAAATGGCCATACATTCCTTATTAACTAGGACATTTTAGAGGAAAAAGGCCAGGAGTTTATTCATTGGAAAAGCTCTCTTACTGTACTGATTTTGTTTAATTTATAGCTAATTACAGAAATCTATAACCTGAGGGTACTCTGGGGAGAATTCAACCTTAGAAAATACTTTAAAAGCACTATAAAAAATCACAAGTATGTAATACCTTACAATTATCACCTATATATCCACAGAAGACTCTTTCAATTTGGAAAACTAAAAGAAAAAGGAAACCACATATTCAGATGAGACAAAGAACATAAAATTCTTGTAGGGAGAATGAGGCAGAAAGTGAATGAAAAAAATCAACACTGTCTCTTTAGCCTTTAAGAAAGTGGCTGGTAACAGCACACACTGGGAGTAAGTGAGAGAGCTTACCCAGTCTGTGGTGAATGGGGCACCATTTGCCATCAATGTTCTCACTTCATCATCTTGGCCTTTTCTTGCTGCTTCTAGCAACCTCTTCCCCAAGTCCACCAAAGACATCTTTATGCATAGGAACAAAAGTTTTCAGGAAGCTGTAACTAAAAACACAAAGAAAGCTACCTGTATGATGTTTTTAGAATATCTCTTGTACTTGAATACATATGTTAAATAGTTCCTAAACTGACTATCTGGTAGGGCATTTCCTTTCTACTTCATCTAAAACTATCAGATTTGGGAAAGTTTCAGGCCCTAGACATAATTTCCCTCTTTCAAGCTCCAGAAAAATACTTTGGAAAAATGTTTAACACATTACTATCTTTCTAGATTAAAGAATCAGTAAAACAGCATTTCAACCTTCTGAAACAACCATGGGTAGAAATATTATCTTACACAAAAGAATGATGAAGAGACAAACCAAGGATACTGAGACTCAAGTATATACCACTTTTTCAAAAATGAACAATAGAGCCTGCCACTTCAAGGAAAACCATTGACAGTATTTATTGCCGATTATCAATTATAATTTGAGCTTTTAAGCAAAAAATTGAATTTTGGGAAAACTATATCCACCACCATGAATCGATAGCTTACTGCAAAGTTTTCTGATGAAATTAGTGATACACTAATGAATGTGATTTTTTTATACTATACAATAAAATTCATCAACATTTGGATGCCCTGCAAACTTTGGTGATCCAACATTTTCAAATGACCAATGCATGTTATAAAATCATGCATGGGTAAAAAGATTCATTCATAGTGAAAGATCAATGGGTTTTAAGAAAACAGTATAAAAACTGTATTTATGCGGTTTCAGATTCCTCACTGCAACTAACTTTTAAGAAATTGACACGAGTTGAGTTTTTGTGTAGCATCAAAGAATACCCACAATTACCTGAAAAAGCTATTAAAATACTTTCTCCAAGTACATATGGCAACAGATTGAATGCAGACATAGATATGAAAATGCAGCTGTCTTCTATTAAGCCAGAAGTTAAAAAAGAGATTTGCAACAATATAGAACAATGCCATTTTTCTATTTAAATTGGAAACATATTTTTCAATTCTAGCACTAATATTCCATGATCAGTTATCTACACACCAATATGTAGCAGGAGATCCCTACAGAGAATCTACAGAGAATAATAATCTCCAGAGTTTTATCCAGAGTTTTACTTGTTCCATTATGCTATTGAAGAAGTTCCTAAGAGAATATATAACAAGCAAATACATGAGAACCACATTTTAAACTCGTTTCATATGCTGCACCTCTGCTTCCAAAGATATTTGTACAATTTCTGTATAAAGATGCTTATCTCTGTTTTATTTTTTAACTTCCACAAGCAGTTTTCTACAAACATGATCACTAAAAAGGTCCAATTATGAAAGGGCCCTGAGAAGTTGAAGAGGATAAGCAGTTTATAGGGAACCATCTGTCAGGAAAAACCAACCAACCAACCACTGAAAATGCAGCAGAAATGGCTATTTTTTATATATAATTGGATTTGACTAAGAGCTTCAGTTGAAACAGATTATCCATTTTCTGGTTACTGTTTAATTCCTTCCTGAATTGGCCCCATCTTGTTTCTTCTTCATATTCTTCCTTAATTAAAGCCCTCATTGGCTCTTGCCTAGCCTAATGAAAGTCACTATATGGTTTTTTAGCACTGTCTTCTCTCCCCAGTCTGTATACCATGCTCCAAATTATCATCTTTTTTTAAAAAAAATCATACCAATCCTCTGTTTAAAAGCACCTATTAGATTCCCATTGCCCCCCAAATAGTTCAAACTCCTTTGCAGGTCATGTAACATCCCTACATTCAGAACCCAGCCTCTCAAGTCTCAGCTCCTGAAACTCCATTTCTCTTGCTGAATCTTTAGGCACAGAACTATTTCTTTCCTGAACATTCCATGTCCTTTCACACTTCAGTCTTCTCTTTTTCTAGAATATCATTTTCTCACTTTGTCCACTTTTCTTCCAAAATTCAGTTCAGATTCCAAATATACCTCCTAATACTTGCCTTAAGTATCATTAATACTCTTTCTGTGCTCCTGTAACACTTGCTAGATATCTGCTTATCACTGTAGTATTGAAATGCTTTGTTTCTAGTCTTTACCTCCATGGCACTGTAAACTCTCCAAAAGCAGGGCCATGTCCTATTAATTTTTGTATCCCTCATCCTGTTATTCCCTGACATACAAGTGCTGGCTTAAAAAATTAATGGATGAAATCATCACAGCTAGTTTTTAATTCTGAGATGGCTTCCTTATGACTCATGCTCTACAGTTATACATACTGTCTCACATCAGCTCATATACATTCAGAAAACATAAAGAGGCTTTAAATATAGTTTTGAGACAAGTTTAATTAGAAAGGGATATACTCATGAAGAAAAAAATCATTCTAAAGCCAAATAAATCTTGCTTTTGTAGTGGCCACAATACTGCTTCAATCATCATGAATAACTCAGGGTTTTATAGAATGGTATTAAAAAAAAAAGACACTAATGACACTGAGTCATAAGATTTAGACTTATGAGAAGTACTATTTTGATAAGATAATTTAGCTTTGACTCAGCACCTAGAAAAAATCCTTAACTTCAACTGAAGTATGCTCTGGGGGTATATAAAGAGCCAGACCTGAAGGATGACCAGAATCTCAGCATTGTTTTTCTCCAGGGCTATGTCAAAGGCAGATTTATCAAACTTGCTGAAAGCATGGACATCAGCTCCACATTTGATAAGTAGCTCTACAACATCTCGATGGTGGTGCTCTGTGGCCCAATGCAGAGCTGTCATCTTCAGCATGTCCTTGGCATTCACATCTGCACCATTCTGTTATAGAAAAGTAATTTTTTCAGACACTGGTTACACCAGCACAGGTGCAAGATCTCATCACCAAATAAAGAGGAATTCCATGGAGACTACACATATTCAAATTTAGAACACATTTAAGAAATATCAAAGGGAAAACACTCCTCAAACTTTCCTAAATGCAGAAAGACATAATGCTTTCAATGAGTGGGTCTTCAAAAGACATCACTTGGAAATTATAACAGATGGGAGTGGAAGAGGAAAAGAACAGATTTTGTTGCATTTATTAACAGAGCTGAGTGCCTGAAAAAAATCAGCATAAGTGCAGAGAACACTTGCAGAAAGGGAATGAAGAAAAATCAATAAAGTCTGTTTAGCCTTTAAAAGATTAGAAAACAAAATCCTCATAGCCATTATAACTTGTGAAAGAGATGCAAATCAATGCTATAAACTGTCCTAAACTTACCATGTGTTTAAGTAAGAAAACAGTGAGGTGGATGTCTTTTTTACAATATTTACCCACCACTATTCTTGTTTTACCCTAACGAGGAGTTCCACGATGTGTGCATGTCCATCAGCTGCAGCCATGTGCAAGGGGGTCCTGTCCACTTTGGTCCGGGCATCCCTGCTAACGCCTGCTCGAAGGAGCACTTCTGCTGTGGAATAATGGCCATACTGCGCTGCAAGGTGGAGGGGTGATGTTCCAAGCTGTGGGAAAATAATACTCACTGAATATCAACTGTGTCCAGAGTTATCATTACTGAAGAGACACAAGAATCTGGTTGGGCAGAGAGGATTGAAGAAATGACTTAATTAAAAAATTAAACACTAATTGGCAAACAAATATACCACCAATTAAATAAGTGCTAAGCATAAAGGATTAAGGTTAGATGGATTTTATTACATAGGTTTGCCAAAGGGACATGAATTAAGCAGGGGTTAGAAAAATGGATAGACAAGAGCATTCTGAGTCAGGGATAAAGGGAAGAGATAGGTTCAAAACAATTCTTAGGAGAAGGCAGACACTGGAATTTTGGGTGCAGATCTAACTGGCTGGAATGTGAGTTTGTGGCCACAGTAACGCAAAGCAGAAAGACTGATGTGATGCAGAGGCAATAAACATTTAACAATAGTTTGTCAATAGCAATAAGCAAGTCTGTACCATCTCAAAGTAAATCTTGTAAGAGTTATTTATCAGCATCAACTTTGGCCAGAGACTTAGTCCTTTCTTTGTGTTATGCTATGGTAAGCCTATGTTGTTTATTCTTTGCTTTTCACATATTCAGCTTCTCTGCCTTGACTGGATTTAATCCACATTGCTCTTTGCAGATCTATTTATAGAAATGTTCATCTCATGGGTTTCCTTTTCTTCCCTTTTGTGAAGTGCTAAGAACCTGCAGGTCTCTGAAGTTATGAATTAATTACCTCAGAATAGAGGACACTGGTTCACAGAGTTATTAAAATTAGGTGATGCGTACAAAATCTCTGAATGCTAAGCAAACCTACATTATGACCTAGACCTGGATTCCTCTGCTCTCCAGGGTGGCTGCTTAAGGCTCATGAAATTACACCTTCTTCTTTAATGTTTTTTAATGGTGGTAAAGGAAACAAAATGGCCATACATTCCTTATTAACTAGGACATTTTAGAGGAAAAAGGCCAGGAGTTTATTCATTGGAAAAGCTCTCTTACTGTACTGATTTTGTTTAATTTATAGCTAATTACAGAAATCTATAACCTGAGGGTACTCTGGGGAGAATTCAACCTTAGAAAATACTTTAAAAGCACTATAAAAAATCACAAGTATGTAATACCTTACAATTATCACCTATATATCCACAGAAGACTCTTTCAATTTGGAAAACTAAAAGAAAAAGGAAACCACATATTCAGATGAGACAAAGAACATAAAATTCTTGTAGGGAGAATGAGGCAGAAAGTGAATGAAAAAAATCAACACTGTCTCTTTAGCCTTTAAGAAAGTGGCTGGTAACAGCACACACTGGGAGTAAGTGAGAGAGCTTACCCAGTCTGTGGTGAATGGGGCACCATTTGCCATCAATGTTCTCACTTCATCATCTTGGCCTTTTCTTGCTGCTTCTAGCAACCTCTTCCCCAAGTCCACCAAAGACATCTTTATGCATAGGAACAAAAGTTTTCAGGAAGCTGTAACTAAAAACACAAAGAAAGCTACCTGTATGATGTTTTTAGAATATCTCTTGTACTTGAATACATATGTTAAATAGTTCCTAAACTGACTATCTGGTAGGGCATTTCCTTTCTACTTCATCTAAAACTATCAGATTTGGGAAAGTTTCAGGCCCTAGACATAATTTCCCTCTTTCAAGCTCCAGAAAAATACTTTGGAAAAATGTTTAACACATTACTATCTTTCTAGATTAAAGAATCAGTAAAACAGCATTTCAACCTTCTGAAACAACCATGGGTAGAAATATTATCTTACACAAAAGAATGATGAAGAGACAAACCAAGGATACTGAGACTCAAGTATATACCACTTTTTCAAAAATGAACAATAGAGCCTGCCACTTCAAGGAAAACCATTGACAGTATTTATTGCCGATTATCAATTATAATTTGAGCTTTTAAGCAAAAAATTGAATTTTGGGAAAACTATATCCACCACCATGAATCGATAGCTTACTGCAAAGTTTTCTGATGAAATTAGTGATACACTAATGAATGTGATTTTTTTATACTATACAATAAAATTCATCAACATTTGGATGCCCTGCAAACTTTGGTGATCCAACATTTTCAAATGACCAATGCATGTTATAAAATCATGCATGGGTAAAAAGATTCATTCATAGTGAAAGATCAATGGGTTTTAAGAAAACAGTATAAAAACTGTATTTATGCGGTTTCAGATTCCTCACTGCAACTAACTTTTAAGAAATTGACACGAGTTGAGTTTTTGTGTAGCATCAAAGAATACCCACAATTACCTGAAAAAGCTATTAAAATACTTTCTCCAAGTACATATGGCAACAGATTGAATGCAGACATAGATATGAAAATGCAGCTGTCTTCTATTAAGCCAGAAGTTAAAAAAGAGATTTGCAACAATATAGAACAATGCCATTTTTCTATTTAAATTGGAAACATATTTTTCATAAAAATGTGTTATGTTAATATGTAATGAATTTATGACTGTATTTAAATCAATGAACATTAAAAGTTAATTTCTAAAACAGTAAATATCAACAGGTTTAACACCTTGTAGTCCTCAGTAATTTTTGAGAATATAAGTGAGTCCTGAAACCAGAAAATTTGAGAATCATTGGCTTAGGCAAATCATTCAAGCCACTACATGATTTAATTTTCCAATCTGTATTACAGCATTGTGCTCAAACATTGCTGTCCAAGAGATCACCAGGGAGTTTGCTGAAAATGAAGATAGCTGAGGCTCTAGTCCAAGCCCTCTAAATGAATAGGTTCAGGAACAGAGGATGAACTTTAATAATGTGTACTTTTATAACTTGAACTAAGTGTCAGTTTTTACAACTCAAGAAAATGCTAGAGAAAAAAATAACAGAAAAACCTTCTTAGAGAAAACCGATACTTTGCCATTCATGGTTATCTTCCTTTTAAAATATCAATACTGCCTTTCAGTTTAATCATCTTATTACTAATAGTTAAAAATAAAGATAAATATTTAGGTGATTCATTGGCCAGAAATGATTCTTTCACATTTTCTCCAGTTACACTATATATAAAAGATTTATCTTGAAGCCTTCAACACTTCAATGATAACTAATCACAAAGGGAAAAAATGCCCTACATGGGGATGTTCAGAAATGCTGGCACAAAGCAGAATTAAACTATCCTAATAATGAAATTTCAGCTCTATTCTCTACCACACACACACATACAATACTCAGTTGAAGGCTGAGGTATTTGCTTAAGGAGAAATCTAGTTTGCTCCACATTCCTGGGAAGCTGATACTTGCAGAAAACAAGATCCTTTAAAAAAGTTGATTTTATACCACTACAACTGGTGTTTTCAGCACCTGAAAACGTGCAAGTTTTTTTTAAATTTAAGTATAGTTGATATATTGCCAAGTATTTCTAAGCACTCAAGTTTTTCCAATGTAGTCCACCTTCATATACACATTTTTATAGCTTTTGTTTAATCATATTTGTGAGTCTGTACATCAGTACCACTAAGTGGCAACTGACCCAAATTTGTCATCCTGTTTTTAAAATAGGCCATGAAAAGCCTTATTTCTTACAATATAAACATGTATTTAAGCTTTTAACTATAGACTGTAAATTAGATTACATTGTAAATAAGGTATTCTACTCATCACCTGAAATAAAATCTCCTAGAAATGTGTTCTTCAAGGCTCTTTTCTCTCCCCCCTATCCTCAGTTACTTTTTTCTTTAGAGATTACCTAAAACATCTTATACAAAAGTAAAGTGTTTTTTAAAATAACACTACTCTGGGGGGACTATGTGTCATTTTCCCATATCCTATGTCAACAGGGGTACTACCAACCACACAAGAGATGTAGCCTAAGAGACAAAAGGCACTTCTGAGCTCCCGGATTACAAAAAACAAAGGGAAAACATTCACCTGTACTGGGTGTACCTTCCCTATACACAAAGTAAAGAAACAAGATCTGATCTAACTTGTCTCTTAGAATTTTGGAGATTAATAAAATAACAAAGCACCTCCTCCCCTTTCCAAACACACACACACGAACTCTCGGTATGTTTTAATAATGGATATAGTGCTTGAGCTCTTGACAACAAAGAAGTCTATTATCAGAGAGTAATTCCGTTTGTTAATAGAATTTAGTTGAGGCGGTTCCTTCGTTATCAAAGGCGTATGTATAAAGACAGATGCTTAAAAACATCTCTTTTGGACTGGGTGGGACACACAGTGCAATGAAAATACGGTCCCAGATGGCCAAAAACGTGAAATTGTTGAAGGTAAGCCACAGAATGTCCTTTTCCAGAGATGTTTAAAAAAGAGAGAAAGAGAAGTCCTTCAGGGAAGAGGGAGAGGGCTAGGATGATCTCCGCTGGCTCAAGGAAATCTGTGAGAATGGGAGAAAGCTACAGGGAAGGAGAAACGGAATTGAAGAACCCATGGTCTGGAGACTTCTTGCTTTTCCACTGCACCCATCCCCGCTGGGCTGCCAGCTGCACAAACAACTGTGCTAGAACTGGAGATGGGCCTTTACTCCTCTTGTTCAGATTACCTGAGCTCACTAATAATCTTAAGGCTACTACTGGGGTTAGAGAATTGGAGTTTCCATTTTCTGTTCTATCGCAAATCCTCACAGCAATGCAGGGAGCCAAGGTCAGCCTGACAGGCCGTCCCCGGCCCAAGCTCCGCACTGCCCCCTGGCGGTCACCTCGGCGGCCCTGGCTTTCCTAGGGCCGGCTCCCAGCCCCAGGTCTTAACACCCACCCCTTCTTCACCTCCTCCCAGTCCCCTCCCCTTCCTCCCGGCGGCATCCCCTTCCTCTTTGCTCCCGTCCCCTAGCTGCCCCTGCTCCAGGGAAGGGGCGCCGCTCGGTGTGCGCCCACAAGTCCGCGACTGGGCTGGGAAGCGGTGCAACTTCTCACGGCAGTCTCCCTTCCAGTCCGGACTCCCCCCAGAGTCCACGCATCATCTTCCCTCTCACCTCCTGGTCCGGGACGCTGCCGGCTGCGCTTTCACCGAGTCCGCCAGTTTGGCCCCGTTTCCTTCTCTAGTTTAGACTCCCTGTCAGTGACAGTCACTTTTTGGCCTTTTTATATATGCATATTTTGGGGGCCTTTAACCCCCCCTCGCGGAGAAATGGAGGCAACAAAATGGCGGACCCGGAAGTGAGGACTACGTCAGTTTAATTCCTGGCGGAGGAATCCGTGAAGAGAAACTGAATAGAAAATCCACATTTGCGTTCGAGCAGAAAGATACTGCACCTCCGAGGCTCATTTTCTATTCACCGAAGCCCTTTTGAGGTAAAAATGTGTACATCAGACAAACCTGACGGGACTATTTAGCGAGGCGGAGGGTTGTTGATTGCGTGTCTTACGTGTCATATAGTTCCGGTAGGGGACGGACCGGATATTTGTTTGGACTCTTTAAGAACCCGCGTACCTCTAAGAAGTTGGGTTGGGAGTCGTTCTTCCATCCTCTTGGTGGCGTCTTTGGAGGGCTATGTTGGGGTTGATGGGAAAACCTTGTTACCCTGTCTCAACCCCGGGTGAGCCTGTTTGGGACGTTCCTGCTTTGCACGAGAACTGAGCGCTGGAGTCTGACTACGTTATTTCCAGTTACAGCCTGAATGTAATAACCCCAGAACCCAGCTCTCAGCTCCGACCAGTGGAACAAATAACGGAATCCTTTTTTTTTTGGGGGGGGGGGGGGGCGCCGCCTGGAAGAGGATGGAGCATGAGTTTGTAAATCCATTTAGGTATTTTATTTACCAAATAGTTGATTCTCATTTCCACCCATAAATAATCGTCATGACTGAAGGGCAGTGAGGAGTCGGGAAAAAAAGCCCTCCAAAAATAAAAATACAGGACACATCACTGATCATTCTTTTTAGATTTTTGCTTTTGTCCTTGATAGTGGGACTTTCAAAGCCTATGAGGAAGATTCACTGTCTTTTTTTTTAAATTACCTAGGTCCTGTTCATGTCATCTTTGTGGCACACTGGCCAACTACTCTTCATATAGGTATTTACAGCTTCCCTTGTGTCTAAGAGACAAAATCGTATCTCATCCTCTTATATTGTCTGACTCAATGCCTTTCATAAATAATAAATACCAAAAACTATATGTAAATTAGTCCAATAGTTTTTTTGGAGTAAGACCATTTATAAATAAGCAGACAACATATTTGGGTAAGTTAGTTTATTTCCTTAGGCACCTAGGCTGAGATAATGAAGAGCAGATTTGGGGCCACAGGTGCCTTCTTAGGCATCTGGAATTATTACCTGAGAGAGGCTGGTAGTCAGAGGGCCAGCAGAAGAGGGGTTGGTTGTAACTCTGTCCCTAAATGCTTTATAATTTTAATTTTATTTTACCCATTTTCTTCTATCTGTTCAACCTGAAATTCATCATTTTAATATAAAAAAGCTACTTATAATCATTGTTCCTCAAAGTTGAATATTAGAAATTTAAAATATATTAGCTGAATCTGAAAGCAAGATTAATTTCTGAAATCTATCTATACTACGTCCATGTAAGAGAAAACTAGAACCCAGTCCTGGGATTGGATATCTTTATTAAAGGAATGAATAAATGGCAGCACAAATTCATCAGCAATAATTTTGGAAAGAGTGGGAACAGGTGTAGGATCAAAATGTGATTCTTCATGTTCTCAAGGTAGCTGAAGAACTGTATCCATCGATCAGTATGTTACATTGTAAATGCAGAAGGGCAAGACTAATATGAAGGACCAAACCCAATGCCTTTTAGAAACTGAATCAAAACCTTACAAATTATCATAATAGTCAGCAAGTTTGCATCTTAAGATTTGAAATAGCAATTTTCCTCAACTACAGTCAGTTTTCAACCCAGGAACAAAGTTGTAAAGTGAGTATCCTTGAAGAAAGAACATTCTTTTGAGAACACTTAGCTGTTTCTGAAATGACTCACTTCTTTCCCGTATTTTCATTTTTTATGATGTATTCCCTCTTGTTCTATACCCCAATTTCTCTGAGAAAAAGTGTATTTACAAGAAAGCAAGATAAAAAAGTAAGACTCTTATCACCTTAGCCTTTTAAAAATCCTACTCTTCTAGCAGAGAATCTCACAACTTCCAAGGTTTTCATCAACCCTTGAAGAAATATTTGTGTTTACTGCCTAGAGCAGGAAGTTAGGAAGTTTTGAGCAATCTCTGAAGCTGATCAAAATGGAGTAAAAAAAATCAGCCCTCCATTTTGCACTACTATTTTACTTTCTGGTGCCTCCATCAGGCCTGTTTTCTGGAATTAATATCTTGGAGCAGGGGAAGGAGGAATCCCTGTGGCCCAAAATTCCATTGTTTGAACCCTTTACTTTGTGGCTTAAGGGCTTTTGAGAGAAATTGAGAAGATAGATAAATAAATAAATACGACACAACTTTGGCAGATTCATTAGTACCACCTCAACACAATAAAGGGGAGAGAGCAAGATTAACGGGAAAAATGTGGAAAGGAAGGGGCTTGAAAAGGAAGGCAATGAAGGCGAGGTGGTGGAGAAAGAAGTGTTGGGTTTAGAGCAAATCCAGTTCAAAGGAGTGGATGCTGGCAATGGGAGCTCTCCAGAAGTTGAAGGTGCTGTACTCAAGGAGGGCATCACCTTCAGGGTTTTTCTTCAGCTCTGCATCAGTTGCTTGCTCAGTCATTTTGCCAGCGCTGTTGTCCTTGCTCTTGTAGGCGGATGTATCTGACAGACCCAGCCCTTCCAGCTCTGACAGATCCAGTTCTGGAATGGGCATTCTCCAGAAAAGAAAGGAGCTGTACTGGCTACTCACAGGGTCCCTCATAACTTCCTGAAAAGAAACCACTTGTCAGTCTTCATGCTACAGCAATCTTTCTGTGGCCCATGGCCTTTCCTTACTTGGAAACTTTACAGCCCCATTTGCCTCTGTATACCTGTAGACTTTCCTAAATTTCTCCCCACCTTGGAATGACTTATTGACTGCCTACTGCTTCCAGTTGATTTTGGGTCTGCCTTTCAAGACCCTCCAGAATCTGATCCCATTTTTCTTAGCCCCATTTCTCCGCTACAGTTATGCTCATTCCTATCTTGCTTAACTCTACTTTTTAACATCTTAAAACACTATCCAAGTTTCAAGACTCCAAGTCCCTAGAAGAATCTTTGCCTGAACTCGTTATACTGTTATTAGCAAATATGTGACTTCTTCCTGACTATGGTTTAAAAGGTCATAGTAACTCTGAAAAGGGACTATGACATTTCAATTTTCCTTCCTGCCTTCTAAACCCTACTGTAAACTCACCTCTTCCAGGAGGATTTCCTTAAACTTATGCAGCTCTATCTAGTATTTCTTCAGCCCCAATACCCTGTAGTTTTACCTGACTGTATCAGTTTGGGGTTATAGATCAGTTATGTCTTGTATAGGGATAGTCTTATCTCCTTCAAGGATAAGTTTTCCCAAGGATAAAAATCAGTCTAATTTGTACCTCCTTCACAAGTGCTGGGCATTGCACACAAAAGACATTTAAGGGTAATTAATTTTCCCTCAACCTTTATTTAATACAGTGAGCACCTTGCCACTCCTATCTATTAACCCAACAGATAGGCCTATTTTTCTCTAGCCTCTCTCTCCTTCAGAATAAAACCCAGGTGCTAAAAGGATATGACAGGATCTCTTTTCTCTGATCCCAATGCTAGAACATACCTGATGATAGAGCAAATGGACTGGAAATTCCAGATAAGGAAAGTAAAGTTTAGATTGGAAAAAGAAGGTCCTTTAACAGAATTAGGTACTTTTTCATGCTTTCATGAGTACTTCTATCACCTTTTCTGCTCATTCTCCCCACACCCTGATGTTATATGATTATTATGCCCCCTGGCAGCCTTCCCCTTGCTGCTTGCTAGCCAAGGGAAGGGGCAAAAGCATTAGCTGACTGTTTCCAAAGGAGCAGAAAGAACATTCCACCACTCCAAAAATAAAACCCCCATTTCAAAAGGCCTTCCTCCCAACATCACACTCCACTGGCTGTCACCAGGCCTTGAGACTGCTAAACTGTGGCCTTAAATAGGTTCTGAAATGCCCCCATGTAACATGTTAGGTGAACATGGTAATGAATACACTATAAAAACCATAACTCCATATAATGTAAAATGTCTCCAGTAAGCAAGAAAAAGAAAGCCTTAAACTAGAACATAGTTACATGTGAGTGTAGGGGCATTAGGAGTGGTGAGTGAGTAGACTAGGATGTTTTTAATGTTTAAAGCAAATTCTGAGTTGCTTTTTTTCTTCTTAGGTTCAAGTTCCAAAATAACCCCTGGGAACTGAGCATTACTCAGTAGACACGCTGCTTAGAAAGATGATTTGGGGACTGGAAGGCATGGTGAGCGTTTTGGAAGGTGAGGTCATCATCCCAGGATATTCAGCACTGATCATCTCCACAGAAATTTGCAGAGACATGTGCACAGAAAGAGAGCTACAAAAATGATTGTACTTATCAACCAACTAAGGTCTGGGACCTTAAGAAGCAAACCTTAGGAGTCAATAATATTACGCACTTCTGCCCACAGGGATTTTTTTTTTTTTTTTTTTTTTTTTATATTACCAGTTATTTGCCTAACCTATTGGCTTCTTTTATATCTCCTCACTTTACTAGTCCCTCTAGAGTAAGATTAGTATAATGCTAGGCACCTATTAGGCTCTTGAAAAAGTAGAATCATAGGGGAAAAAATAGAATTTAAAAACTTAGAAAATACCTTAGAAATTATCTAGTGCCTTGTGAAGCCTTCCAGCTAGTCTGGACAGAAACCAGGTCTCATAATTCTCAATCTGGTCCTTTTTTGCTGTGTTGTACATAATAGTTGCCTAACAGCTTTATATTAATCCCTATACCAATATTCCCAAAACTTTCAAGAATTCTTTGATTGTTCCTGTAATTCTGATCTGAATGCTGAAAATGCAAAAGGCACTAGAGAGCAAGCTAGAATCCAAGAAAGGGAAAAGCTCTTTGACAAACTGACTTGTTTTCTTACAACCAGAATATGCATGATAACTGCCCAAACAATCCCATTGCTCTGAGTGTCTGGCAGAGTGTATCTTGCAATTAAAAAAGCTAAAGGAACTTTTATAAAATATTAACTTACAAGGCATTTTAATCTCTAGCTATGCCATTGACTCAGAGACATGTACAGAGAGTACCAAATGCATTCTAGAAAGACATTCAAACAAGCATATGTAGCATTTAAAATCAAGTCAAGAACATTGACTACACAGGAAATTGAAGCTAAAATACCATTTATATTACCTCACATTTATATAGTATGGATTTAACTCTCAAGTCCCAAATTTTGCAAGAGGTCCCTTTTCAGCTAGCTTTCTCTTCATCTCTCCAAATGTTCTCCACCCATTCCTCATCTATCTTTACATCTCTCATTTACTTATTTTAAGGGCTTGGACAGTGCCTTATACAATATTTGCTCAATAAATACTTCCCACTTTAAATCATCCAGATATTTTAGGTAAAGGTAATTTCTAAACATCACCCTAAGAGATGCACGACTGGCAAATATATAGTCTAAAAAGACACACTCTGTGCCACACAGACACACCCAAATACCCTTTGTCCAGACCCTCAGTGTGAATCCAGGGCCTACCCAACAGGGCCTTGCTGTGTCATGCTGCCACCATAGGAAGGACAAGCGATGGTAGCAGAGGAGAATGGAAGCTCTCTAGCATTTCATAATATATGTTTCATTCTGGTCTTGGATTTTCCCATTAGCCATGTCCTTTCCCCACCTATTGCGCTGAGCTGCAGATGAGCATTACTTTCCCAGAATCTGCCCCCATACCTAGCTCTTATGGGTTGTACCAATTTCAATATGGGATCAAGCAGTCCTCCACCACAGTGGCCTCCACCTTTTTCTACCTCATGGTGCCTCTTTCTTGGAAACAAAGGTTTGATATAGGGAATAGGAAACTGTTAAAAGAGAGGTCAGGATTACTTTCAACATTATTTCATATCCCTTCCCCAAGACTCCCTCATAAGAAGACAGTAAGTTTGGAATGAGGGTAGACACATCAGTGGAACACTAGAGAAAAAAATTGGAAATTTAGGGAACAGAAGCAGAGGCTACAGTGGTATAGCAGGACTAGAGATTCATCCAAAAAATGGTAGAACAAATGAAAGCTTGAAAAAGAAGATATAGATAACTAGGCTGAAGATAATAAAATACATAGGACAATAAATTACAGACAAATAGATACTTAAAATAAGCAGATAAATGCTGAGTAATGATAACATGTAGTATATTGTTAAATATTACTGCCCGTGTAAAGGATTTTAAGGCATGGATTGAGGTATTAGCAAAGATGTAAAACTGTGTGCAAAGAACTCCCCATTGTTCATAGTGCCCCCTTCTCTCCCCTCCTTTTCTCTTGAACTGTCCTCCAACCTCATCCTTATTATGGTCTTCAGCCTAACCTGAAGCAGCTGCTCTTCTCTCTTTACCAACCCCCTGCTCGCCTCCCTCAATTTAGTTTACCTGTTATGAATTACTAGCGTGTTCCAAAAAGATGGAGGGAGTACCTTGGGGGCTCCGGTTTCTGCTCTGTGCTGGAGACAAAACAAAGCTGTTGAGGCTCCAATGGCTTTGTCTTCTCACTCCCTCTGCCTCCTCGGTGCCCGAGCCGGTCTGCTCAGTCTCCCCCTGCAATGCAGCCCCTCCTAAGAAGGGCGGAAGGACTCCCCGCCCCCTCCCTGCCTGACTCGGCTAATTCAAACGCTAGGTTCCAGAACACTTTAGAAAGGGAGACAGGAGTACAGCATCATTGTAGGTTTAGTGGTCTGCACAATTATTCCCGAGCTCTTCCAGCACCCCCATGCTGAACTGAGGGTGTCAGAATGAGCAGTTAATTGTCCTCTAATTTTTGGTTTATGGATTAAAAATCTTAACTCTAGACAACAGTAGAGGAGTGTCCCTTTCTTACCCAATTTAAGGATTTCCGATTACGTAGTGTTTTTGCAAATCAGAAGCATTCTCCATCCCTCCCTTTCCCGACTCGCCTCTCCACCTTCACAGTCGGCAAATAAACCTCTACCTATTTTATTTTGCGTAGAGCACAAAAAGATTCGCGGAGATGGGGGCGGGCACGGCCGCGGCTAATCCCTGAGTTTGGTTGGGTACTGGGATTTGGGGGCTCCGCTTCCCCCGCAATGGCTGGCGCGCGGAGGGAACGCGTGATGCTGGGGCGCTCAGCTTGAGTGCCAGGCCCTCCTCGAAGGCTCCACATTCCCCGGGTCATCCAGGAGGGGCGGCGGCCCTCGAGGGCTTCCGAGGCCCCCCTCTCACGTCCCTCCACGATGCAGTGCCTCATCAGCCCAGTGGGGAGCTGTGCGCCCGGCTCCCAGCCGGACGGGTTTCGTAATCGCGTCGCCGCCGTTTCCGCCCTCGGCCAGCCGCACCTCTATTGGCCCGCCCTCGGCTCCCCTACGGCGCCGAGGAGCGAGCCCGGGAACCCCACGCTGGAGGGCACGGAGTGGAAGCCCCTCTCACCATCTGTCGCCGGACCTAGATGCCGGAGCGGGGCAAGTGAGACCGTGGACTTGGTCCCCCGGCCCGCGCGCCCCGCCTGTCCTGCCAGGCGGAGACGCACCGGATGCTGGGGGTGGGGGAGGAGGGTGTCGGGGGCTGTTTAGATGCTGGGTCGGTGGGAAAGAGGGTGCGCTCCCTAAGTAACAGTCCCCATCCGTGCTCGGCGCCGTGCGCCGGCTGAGGCCGCTTAAGAGTTAAAAGGGCAAGAAGGGGCTGGGTTGTTGGGGGAGGAGGGTGGGGAAGGTAGTCTTAGAGACTCAACTCGGCGGTGTCGTGTGCCAGACAAAGTGAAGCAGAGCTGGGTCCTGGAAGGTCTGACACCGAGGCTGCCGCGGAAAGCAGTGACAGAGTTCGAAACATTTACAGAGAAGTCCTAGTCCTAGTTTAGCGCTGGGAATACCAGAGAATTTCTGGGTAGAGTTAGTGGGCGGGCAGAAGTGAAGCCTTATGTGACTAAATATGTTGGGGAGGGGAAGCTTAGGGCCTAGTTCTGTTTGGTCTTAGGTCCCCAGAACTCGTTTCCTGGGCAAGGGCACGGTTGGTACTGGGGCAAATGCCTGCCACTTGATTGAAAAGTGGAGTCCACCCCTACCTTTCTACAGCCCCCCAGCTGCCGTCCACATGGGCAGGTCTCCACTGGGGGCCAGCTGCAGACCTGGGCTCTGTGGCCAGAATTGCTTACTCCATTCTATCAGTTCTCTTTCTCTGTCTCTCCAGCTGCTTCTTGTGAAGGCTTGTCAGGCAGCGGGGTTGGAGGCCTTGGGGCTGGAGGCAGCGGTACTGGGAAAACCGGTTTGGGGCTAGAACAGGACCAGGGAACTACCTCTGTACATCTTACCTCACTGGAACCTTTCTCCTATCCCTTCTCCTGTTCACCCCACAATAGTTTTGAATCTCATAAGCCCCAGTGTGACCTTAGAGTCTTTCCCAGTTCCATATTTAACCCTTCCTATTTGGGACTCAGGCCTAGTTCTCCTCACTGCTTGGCTGTGAGGATATGGCTTTATGCAGTCTAAGAGTCCTGACCCCTCCTGTTGTTTTCCCAGCCCCTTTCCCTTCATGGAGGGGTTAAAATAGTGGGCAGCAGATTCAAGTGCCTTCTCCTGGACTTACCAGCTCAGAACTTCATTTTCCCTCAACTCACTCTTCTCTAGATGTTTTAAAGGAGAGTTGTAGCCAATCACTCTTACTTCCTTTTCTGGCCTTGTTCCCCTCCACACCACCACCACATTCACCCTGCACAGTCTTCTCTGCACTCACACCCCACCCCCAGTTACAGAGACCCTTATGTCCTATGTCCTGGGGAATGGAATTTCCTGGTCACTTCTCATCATCATTGGTCATTTCATGCCAAGTCCCCCCAACACACTTTCCCTCCACCCAGCTCTGGCCAGGTCCCTGGAAAAGGAACAGAAACAGCCTTGTTCCCTCCATGGCCCTTTTCTCTGTCTCTCCTTTCCTCTCCCCTCCCACCACCCATTTCTGTCCACTCAGCTTTGAGCAGGGGGAGGATACTGGGGGAGAGTCCAGTCTCTGTAGGGCCTGTCTGGTGGTGTTGGGAGTTTCCTGATTCTTCATTGTTTTCTTCACCACCTCCCCACCCCTGCTCCGCCAACCTTTACCAACCAGCCGCCACTACCATCAGGATAAACCCTGTGACTGACTGACGTCCCCCATGACCACAGCTCCCCTCTCTGGACAGCTGTGTTCTGACTTCCGCCCTGTCTCATTGCACCTCCCCACCAATGGTGGGAAGGGAAGTAAGAGAAAGCCCAGACTCTTGGGTCCTTCCCTCCCCTAGAAGCTATAGCTCTGTGTTTGTGTGATCTCATCCCAAGGCTGTTAAGAAAAAAACCTCTTGGCTCTTAGACCAACCTGGGGTGCCATAGCATCAGGGTTCCAGGCCTGGAAGGAAGGCAGATTCCTATACATGCTAAAGTGTAATGTTCATTAAACCATCCTGTTTGGAATCTTTGAGGTTGCCTGTGATACAGGACTGGGGAAATGCAGTGAGTATAGGGGAAACCCAGATGTACCCTATCCTGGCTGGCAATCATGCAGAGGGGAGGAAGTTCTTCCTTGATGCTATTGGAAAGCTCCTTGTGTCTGGTTGGCTCATGAAGCTTGGGAGTGGAAGTGGTGAGGGCGGAGGAGGAACAGGTCACAGCATGAGGGGAAGAGGGAGAGAGGGAAGGAGGGATGGAGGCAGGCCTGGACCCTATGGGATGTGAGGCAGAACAGAGAGGCACGATGTGAAGAGGGTGGGGAGGCTGGAAAAAGATTCCTTATGGGACAGAAGATACCTGGCACATGGACCTATAACCTGTGCACAGATGATTTATACAAGACACTTGCACACAGATATGACCATGCCACATATGTGCAGAGGGGCACACACAGGAGTGCAAGGATACAGGACACAGAAAAACAGAATGCATACAGCCTTCAGGATCTCAAGGTCAAGTAATAAAGAAGCTGTAACAGTTATCAAAGGGAAGGAACTGGGGAGGGTGGGTGGGAAGGGAGGGATAAGGGGGAAAAGGGGGCATTACAATTAGCACACATAATTGGGGGGTGGGCCTGGGGAAGGCAGTATAACACAGAGAAGACAAGTAGTGACTCTAGCATCTTACTACGCTGATGGACAGTGACTGTAAATGGGGTATGTGGGGGGGACTTGATAATGGGGAGAGTCTAGTAACCATAATGTTACTCATGTAATTGTACATTAATGGTGCCCCCCCAAAAAAACCCTGTTAAATGGTTTCTGGGAGGCGTTGGATCTCAGTTGAAGGAAATGAGGAGGAACAAGGGCTCCCTGTGGAAAGTCATGAGGCCCAGGGCGCTGCAGTTAGTCACCTAGGACCTGGTAGTCAAGGCCTCTTTTGGTCTTAAAGAAAACCTAGGTGTTCAGGGTAAAGTGAGAAAAACGAGGGATAGGGCGGAGGCCCTGTTTGTGAGTGAAAAAACCACCATTTCCTCTTCAAAGTCACTTAACTGCCCCTCCCCTTCTGCCCTAAACCCAGGGAGAAGGGAGGTGGAGTTTGTAGCGCCTCAAAATCTGCTCATTTTTGCCACTAGCCTTTGGTCCCCTCCCATCATCTCACCCTAAATGCTTCTGGCCTCCTGCCTCTCCCTTGGTACCACAGCTACTGCTCTTTAACCCCTCAGCTCTTTGCCTTTCTCTGGGGGTCAAACTATGAGGTTCTTATGTTTGGAGAAGGTTAGTGTTATGTATGGGACTAGGGCCTTTAAGGGAGTATGAGAAGATAGGGGCTCATGAGGACGCTTCCCACGGAGGTGGGGGTGGGACTTCTCATTAACCTTTCTTCTCTCTCAACTCTCTGCTCTCCCAGGGTTCCAAGTCTGTGGAAGACATAACATTGTGCCTGCCTGCTCCACTTGCTGGCCCTGCTAATCTCCCTGGGTCTGGGACACTGACCTGCACTGCTCAGCTAAGGTTTGGAGGGCTCAGCTGACTCTAGCCGCATCTAGCTAAGTGAACCCAGGGTGTTAGTGTTACCCTGAGGGGAGTGAGGAGTGGGCAGTCAAGGCACCAGAGCAAGAGCCCCCTGGGGCCTCGGGCGGAGGAGTGAAACTGGAACCATCAGGAAGCATGAGTGAATTTTGGCACAAACTGGGCTGCTGTGTGGTAGAGAAACCCCAGCCGGTAAGTCTCCACCCCAACCCCAACACACACAGAAATCAGTTACCGTATACTGTGAAGTAGACACACCATCTACGATCTGCTGTCTACAAAGCACACTTCTTGCCTCCCTGCCTGTCAGGATAGTTCCTATAGCCTGTCAGGTGTGTACCTGGAATAAAGGGGACTGGGTGTGGGAGAAGTGGAGAGTCCCAGCTCTTACTTCCTGATCCTGTGGAGTCTGAGTTGGGGAGGGATTGTAGGTGGAGCTTGATACCTGTCAGGTTTCCCCATTGTTTCCTCATCAGCCAGAGGTGACTTGCACATGTCCTTTCTGTATCCAGTGTTCACTCTAAGCCACTGCCCTCACCACCCTGCCTGTGTCCTCTGTGTGTTTATGTAGTACCAGCCTTGCCTTTCAAAGCTTAGTGATTTCCTATTATAATGACACACCCCCTTTCCTGCCAGGCCCTTAGCTCTTAGTAGCTCTCAAGACACTTCCCTTCCTCCGCTGTGACTGGAGAATGGAGCTTCAGACATAACTCCCATATCTTGTCTAAGCAGCAGCAGAAGAGGAGACGGATTGACCGGACCATGATTGGGGAACCAATGAATTTTGTCCACCTGACTCACATTGGCTCTGGGGAGATGGGGGCCGGAGATGGACTTGCCATGGTAATGAGGAGGAGTTGATATGGGGTTGTGGCCTAGAACTGTTCCTCTCTTTGAAAGTTCAAGCAGGGAACATAACAAAATACTTGATAGGGAAACAAGAAGCTAGGATTCTGTGCTGTCCCCAGTGGCGTAAACCTAAGATCTGCATTTCAGGTCTCTGGCCTAGGTTTCTTCATCTTTACAATTAGCAGATTGTTCTCCATTGAGATGGGGGATATATATGCTTAAGAGTTACTTGGAGGACTTTTTCCAAAAATCATAAGCCTTCTTTCTACTAGTTAAAAACTGCTGTCTCAGTGCCGCAGTAAGTTACATTGTGGTTGAGAGTGCTGGAGCAGGAACAACACAGCACCTCTGTGCTAAATAATGTCTAGTATGTCCTTCTGCTCTCAAAATAAGGGAAATGGGCCTGGAAATAGTGAAGGAGGCTTTTCACCAATTGTGAAATTCAGATAAACATGAGAGTTGTTTGTGAGAGGATATTAGTAAAAGGCCCATTTTATCTCATCCTCATGAAGGTTGGAATAAAGGGAGGCATTAAGACTTCGCTTGGAGGAATTGCAGTTTTAATATTTTCAGACTGATTTTACTGCAAGGAGATGGGATCAGCTCTGCCATGGAGGGCACAGGGCTGATCTTGTTACTGTATGATATGAAGACTTAGGAGGGGGTCTCCATGTACTATTTCACAGACAGGTGCAGTTCAGGAGCAGATGAGATCCAAGGGAAACCGCGATAGGCCGTGGAGCAATTCTAGGGGCTTGTAGCTCCAACAGGAATGGTAAGTGATCAGAGAAACTCTTCCAACACCTCCAGCCCCCTACCAACATATCCTGATGCCCTGTCTCAGAACCCTGATCCTCTGCAAAAATGGAGTGAGGGGAGGGACAAAGAATTAGAACAGAAGAGTCAAGAATGTAGGATCCAGACAGACACAAAAGGGATGTGCAGACAGACAGAAATAGAGAAAAGAGTACACTAGCACATTGAACATAGTTAAGAGTCTGCACTAGGTGGTGCTTTCTCACAAAGGCCTTAGTTTTCCTGGAAGCTGATCTTTTTTTTTTTTTTAACATCAGGTTCTGCTGTCTGAAGCCTCCACTCTGTGTCCAGCCCAGAAGAGATGCTGTCCCCACCACATCCCTTCTAGAACCAGTGGTCCCAGGGTCCCTCTTCCCTGTCTGCCTAATTGTGCCTCAGAAGGCTTGGGGGCTGGATTCCCTCTGTTCCCGCTGGCTGTAGCCCCTCCTGGAGATGGGCTGAGGCAGCCTGACTGACTAAGTGACTAGTGGTTGGCCAGAGGGGCTCAGCTGAAGCCCTGGACACTCAGATCTGAGATAGGAGTTTTCTGGGAACCTGGAATGAGGTCCCTTCTCCTGAATGATGGTCTAGGTGCCATCTGTTTTTAAACTTAACCTGGAACTCCTTATGTAGGGCTGGTGGGTGAGATCAAAGCTGAAGATGACTTTGCTGAGATGCTCCTTGCCTCCCTGCCCTTGACCTGAAGCAAACGTCAGGCAGACGCTGGGTGGGTGACTACTGCCTAGTCTGTTCTCTCTCTCTAGCTCAGACCTGAAGCTCACAGTCTGTCCATATCTCTCTATCAATACCAGGGTCTCTCTTGTTAGGCCTCTAACCCTGTGTTTCTGTAGCATTGCAAGCTCCCCAACATCTTTTTAAAAATTAGTTAATTAACTTAAGATGTGTTTTCTTAATTACCCCCGTCCCATTGTTTAACCCCATCCCTGTTAGGAACCTTATTGTTTCCCACCAAGTAAGAGTAAAGGTGAGAGGTATATCTTAACCTGATGACATTCCATATAAGTCTTAGAAACCTGGCCTGCCCTCTGCCAACCTTCCTGTTCGTCCAGGTGAGAGGAGGAAGAGGGCTCTGGAAGACACCGAGTGCAGCAAAACTGGGAATTATGGCTCAGTGTGGACTTCCTGACATTGAGGATGGGAGGGTGGTGAGAGCAATAGGTTGAAAACCATCATCTGTGAGTCTAGGGAATCTTAAAATCCTCACAGTATGGAGCAGAGAGACCCATAGAGCTGAGTTTCTCAACCTCGGCATTCTTGACATTTAGGCTGAGTAAATTTTGTAGTGGGGTCTGTCCTGTGCATTACAGGGTGTTCAGCAGCATCCCCAGCGCACTCTAGTTATGACAACCTAAATGTCCCCAAGGGGGTAAAGTCACCCTCAGTTGAGAGCCACTGCTCTGGAGTCAAGATATTTTTCTCCAGAGTGATTTCCCCACCTCACTCACATGCCATTATTCATCCTAAACCTGAGCCATGGATGAACCAGGTCCCCTTGTAAAGTAGGCTCAGCAGGGCTGCACATAATCTCTAAACAATACCGTGTTACCTGTGTGTGAATGGGTTCATGTCTGTGACGGAGGTGTATGCTCCATTCTTGCTCTCTGGGGGAGGGGTTCCTGCAGTCTGGAGGCATGAACAGGGTATGGTGGAAATGGGAAAGGTAGGAAAGAAAAGCAGTACAATGCAGACAGCCCAGCTTGGTCTCCGTGAAATTTTAAGTGCTATTTCTGTACCCTACTCCTAGAACCAGACACAAATATGACTCAGGGAGATTTGTCTGAAGACCAGGTCCTACTCCCTGGCTGGCTGAAGAGTCTGCTTTAGGTGGGAAAGTAACGTAGGAGCAGGGTCTTTAGGCACTTTGTTTTCTCAGGCATTTTTTTGTTGGGGCCCCTTCGTTGCAGGATGATTAGGAAGGCAGATCAGATGAACTCCCTTTGGCTCTAAGACTGAAAAGGTTAGGGGACGAGTGTCTAATTAGCTCAGTAATAGGAAATGTCGTAGTGGGGGTCAGGAATGTTGGAACTTAGGGACCACTCTGCTTATTCCTCTATCCATCCAGTTTGCCCCCACCTACAGTGACAAGTTGTATTTTTCAAATTTCAGTCTATTTCTTGCAGTTTTTCTGGGTCTAAGATCTGTCATAGAAATACATTCCCAATTTTTTTTTTGCTGTCAGTTCCAGGCTAGCTAGTTGCCCTAAAGTAGCTTACTAACCTGAGGGTTATACTAGATCTAAAGGGTTAACAGGATAGGGTAGACAGACTGGGGACTCCTGCCATCTCTTCATCCTGATCTGTTATTCTAGTGCCTATTCTTTGGATACAGTCTTTGCTTTGGTGCTCTCTCACCTTTAGCTTTCCTACTGCGTATGCTACCATCACTTTAACAATATTTAGAGTGATGGGAGTGGGTTTGAGCGTCATAATTTATATTAAAAATTTGTTGAACTTTTAAGTACATTTTTCAAATAAAAAAAGTTTAAGCAAACTAGTTGCAGAGTAATCACTATAGGGATGTGTTGGGTTAAAGGACAGGTATGGTTGATGAAGGTAACTCCCAGAAAAGTGGCTGACAAGGAATTTTGTGCCAACACTGCCCTTCCCAAGGAGTTCAGAAGGGTGTAAAGGCAAGAAAAAGACCACTACCACCTGCCAAGGGCTCAACACATGTGCTCCTGTTCCCTTTTCTTGGCATTCGTCTTGAGATTTCTCAAGTCTTTAAAGAAGTACTTGTTTAAGAACAACTTTGGAAATGAGGATGAGCAACATCAACATTTTATCCCGAGAGATGCAAAGGAACTAAGCCAGATGCTCCTAGCTACACAGTTAAGTTTTAAGCTCAAGAGATTTATGGTCCTCTTCCCTCAGATACCTCTAAAAATACACAAAACCAAACAGGGATTTTTATAGTTTTGTTTTTCTGTGCTAAACATCCAGTGGGTGCTGGGATTGAAAGGGGAGGAGAGGTTGAGATGCTGACACCTCTTGAAGTGACCATTATCTCCAGTTTCTGTCTATCTGGGTAAGGAAACAAAAGAGAGAAAAGGGGAAATACAACCGCATCTATATTCTTTTCCCTTCCTTGCTTCATCTCCCTCTCCCCACAAACCCTCATTCTCAACACTATTGCCCTTATTTATGCTGTTTTTTTATATTGAATGTTAAGACAATGACAAGAACTGACAAAATGACCAAGTATACATTTTATTTGTCCCCTCTCCCCAAAGGTCCTATCCTATCAGTTGAGACTATTTTATCAGGTCAATCAGAAGCTTTGGTAGCTCTTTTGGTAAGGTAAAGAGGACTGTCCTTCCTTGAGAATTCTTAGGTTGCTAGGAAAAAATCCGACGATAGTTGCAATAGTGGTGGCTACGAGCTTGGGCATTAGTCAAAGAAACCTAGTTTAAATCATGCTGTGACTCTGCCACTTACTATCTTTGTAAACCTGTTTCTGCATCTGTAATGTGAGAATTGATCCACGTAAAGTGCATATAGTAAGACCTCAAATATTGCCTGTTGTTACTGTTAAGCTGCATTTGAGATCTTCCATATCCAATTATCTGTGCACCAATAATTCTTTATATAATGACAATCTTAACAATTTGGTCACTAATCACCTAATGACCAATAATATCAAACACTTACTGGCTGCATCTCTGAACACTGAAGAGAAGCTGTTCCAAATATCCTCCAGTCCAATCCTGACACGTCTCCAGAAGGCAAGGGCTGGGCTGGGGCTGGGGAAGTGGAAGGGGCTGGGTCTCAGTATGCTGCTGAGTGAGGGGAAGGCAGTGCTGGTGCTGGTGGGGGCACTGGCAGTGGACTGAGTGGTGCACCTGGTGTCAGCACAGAGGCCTGCATCCAGGGGGCACTCCTCCCAGAGCTGGTCGCAGGAACACTGATGGTCGGTGCAAGGCTGGTGCTCTGTGCGGAGCTGGCTCAGTGCCCCAACTCGGAGGTGCCCGGAAAGGCCATGTAGCTTCCTGGCCCTGGTCTGGCTCATGGTGCCTGACTTGCAGTGGCAGTGCCATGGGCCCCAGGGCATCAGCACCACGCACAGATCCTTGGGAGGTGGCATGGCCGTGGGTGAGGGTGATGGCCACCACCTCGGGGTGGCCCCTGCTGTTGACAACTGGTCCAGGGTCCCAGTGATGGGCAGATCCTCCATAGACTTCCAGGTGGTGGGGGGCTGGCTTGAAGTGATCCTGATTTCCGGTTCCTGGGTATTCGCTGGAAACCTTGAGCTGGGCCCCCCCCTGTATTGGAAGCATGGTGGAAGTCTCATCGTTGTTGTTACCCTTTCTGGCATTAATCACAACCCCCTCTTCTAAAGACCCGTCCTCCTTGTCCACCACGTGTGACTGGCTGAGGCCTGTGGCCACCGTGGCGGCCAAGAGCTCGGCAGCAGCTGGGCTTGCCAGACCGTCGGCGGCTGCCACGACATCAACCTTATCCCCCTGCAGCACTGTTACCCTCCTCTTAGGGGGAATCCTGGACCGGGGTATCCCGGGGGCAGTCGGGTAGCTGTGGGTCATGCAGCCCCCGAAGCAGAAGCTGACCGTTGCATCCCGGTTGTAGTCAGGCCTTGGCCCCAGACTTAGCAGCAGGGTCCAGAGCAGCACACCGGCGGTGAGGCCCATGGGGGAGGAAGGCCAGCGAGGGAGGCCAGGGCTCCTACCTTTCTTCCCTCCCCTTGGCTCTCGACCCACAGACCCGCCGGGTTGTTAGAAACGAGATCCTTGGGGTGGGGGCGCTCGGAGGCGCGTGCTGTGCCCTCCCTGAGGCCCTCTGCCGGCTGGGTGCTCCCGCGCAGCCCCAGGGGCTGAGCTAAAATTCTAGAGAACCGCTGCGGCAAGAACTGCGTGCCAGCCCGCTGCGGGGCTGTGATGTTAAGGGGTTGGGCAAGAGCAATTCACTTCCTCCACAGCACGGCACTTAAATCTCTCATCTATCTCAGTGTGTTAACCACTACAGATCTGAATTTATTAAAGAGGACAGAAATACAGGTTTTCAAAGCACTCCTTCACAGGCTCACAGGCAACAGACATGACGAAGAAGGAAAGAGAGACATTCGGTGGTTCCTCAAGATTTAGGGAGCTGACTCCTGGCTCAGAGCAGGAGGCTGGCTGTGGTAATTACGCCCTGCACTGCCCCACCACCCCTCACTTTCACAGACTGATAGGGCCCAGGTGGAAAGGATGTCATCACCTTCATGTACAGAGGAGGAAAATGAGACTCTAGGAGATGCAGTTATTTGCCCATGGTTCTACAGCTTAAGCCGGACTACAACTCACAGCTTTGAACTTCCCAGTACAAAAGGCCACTACCTGCACTATATAGCTGAAATGAAAGCTACCCAGCAGATGAGGTTCCAGATCTCAAAGCCCTCCTCTGAGGCAGGTTCATTGAAAGAATGAGATACGAAGATCTAGTAATCCTGGGGTTGAGGATCAGATGATTTACAAACCAGATGTTTCAGGGAGTAGGGTGTGGGCAGGTCAGTATCTTTGCATGGTTCCCAGGTCCTTTATTCCAATCTTATTCTAGGTTCCTCCTGAGCCATGGAGATCCTGGTCCAGCCTAGGAGAGAGAGAGTGAGGAAAAAAAAGTGGTATAGGAGCAGGATATTGGTTTTACTCACCAGTGTGGGGAGAGAAGCCAAGTGAATTGGAGGAGTTAGAAGGAGATTGGATGCTTGACTTGGTCAGCATTTAGGATCTTTGCTCTCTAGCATCCTTCCCCCACTGGATGTTCTCTCCTATTCACTGCCAGCACATCCCTTCCTAATTTCTAGAGCTGGTCTTAATCTCCCGTAAATTTTGTGCTGTCATTACTTCTTCCTTTTTTTAAAAAATTTTTTTATTAAGGTATCATTAATATACACTCTTACGAAGGTTTCACATGAAAAACCAATGTGGTTACTACATTTACCCATATTATCAAGTCACCACCCATAACCCATTGCAGTCACTGTCCATCAGTGCAGCAAGATGCCACAGATACACTATTTGCCTTCTCTGTGTAACACTGTTCTTCCCGTGATACCCCACACCATGTGTACTAAACAATAGCCCTCAATCCCCTTCTCCCTTACCCCAAACCCACCCTCCCACACCCCTCCCCTTTGGTAACCACTAGTCCCTTGTAATCTGTGAGTCTGCTGCTATTTTGGTCCTTCAGTTTTGCTTCATTGTTATACTCCACAAATGAAGGAAATCATTTGGCACTTGTCTTTCTCTCTCTGGCTTATTTCACTGAGCATAATGTCCTCCAGCTCCATCCATGTTGTTGCAAATGGTAGGATTTGTTTCTTTCTTATGGCTGAATACTATTCCATTGTGTATATGTACCACCTCTTCTTTATCCATTCATCTACTGATGAACACTTAGGTTGCTTCCATATCTTGGCTATTGTAAAAAGTGCTGCAGTGAACATAGGGGTGCATATGTCTTTTTGAATCTGAGAAGTTGTATTCTTTGGGTAAATTCCAAGGAGTGGGATTTCTGGGTGAAATGGTATTTCTATTTTTAGTTTTTTGAGGAACCTCCACATTGCTTTCCACAATGGTTGAACTAGCTTACATTCCCACCAGCAGTGTAGGAGGGTTCCCCTTTCTCCACATCCTCACCAGCATTTGCTGTTCTTAGTCTTTTCGATGCTGGCCATCCTTACTGGTGTGAGGTGATATCTCATTATGGTTTTAATTTGCATTTCCCTGATGATTGGAGCATCTTTTCATGTGTCTGTTGGCCATCTGAATTTCGTCTTTGGAGAACTGTCTCTTCATATCCTCTGCCCATTTGTTAATCAGGTTACTTGCTTTTTGGGTGTTGAGGCGTGTGAGTTCTTTATATATTTTGGATGTTTACCCATTAAGGGATATGTCATTTACAAATATATTCTCCCATACTGTAGGATGCCTTTTTGTTCTGTTCATGGTGTCCTTTGCCATACAGAAACTTTTTAGTTTGATGTAGTCCCATGAGTTCATTTTTGCTTTTGTTTCCCTTGTCCTTGAGGAGATGCATTCAAGAAGAAGTTGCTCATGCTTATATTCAGATTTTGCCTATGTTGTCTTCTAAGAGTTCTATGGTTTCATGAGTTACATTCCAGTCTTTGATCCATTTCAAGTTTACTTTTGTGTATGGGGTTAAACAATAATCCAGTTTCATTCTCTTACATGTAGCTGTCCAGTTTTGCCAACAGCAGCTGTTGAAGAGGCTATCATTTCCCCTTTGTATGTCCATGGCTCCTTTATCATATATTAATTGACCATATATGCTTGGGTTTATATCTGGGCTCTCTAGTCTGTTCCATTGGTCTATGGGTCTGTTCTTGTGCCAGTACCAAATTGTCTTGATTACTGTGACTTTGTAGTAGAGCTTGAAGTCAGGGAGCATAATGCCCCCACTTTATTCTTCCTTCTCAGGATTGCTTTGGCTATTCAGGGTCTTTTGTGGTTCCATATGAATTTTAGAACAATTTTCTCTAGTTCGTTCAAGAATGCTGTTGGTATTTTGATAGGAATTGCATTGAATCTGTAGATTGCTTTAGACAGGATGGCCATTTTGACAATATTAATTCTTCCTATCCATGAGCATGGGATGTGTTTCCATTTATTGGTATCTTCTTTAATTTCTCTCATGAGCATCTTGTAGTTTTCAGAATATGGGTCTTTCACTTCCTTGAATAGGTTTATTCCTAGGTATTATATTCTTTTTGATGCAACTGTGAATGGAATTGTTTTCCTGATTTCTCTCTCCACTACTTCATTGTTAGTGTGTAGGAATGTCACAGATTTCTGTGTATTAATTTTGTATCCTGCAACTTTGCTGAATTCAGGTATTAGATCCAGTATCGAGTGGATTCTTTAGGGCTTTTTATGTACAGTATCATGTCATCTGCAAACAGGGACAGTTTAACTTCTTCCTTGCCAATCTGGATGCCTTTTATTTCTTGTGCTGTCTGATTGCTGTGGCTAGGACCTCCAGAGCTATGTTGAATAGAAGTGGGTAGAGTGGGCATCCTTGTCTTGTTCCCAATCTTAAAGGAAAAGCTTTCAGCTTCTCACTGTTAAGTATAATGTTAGCGGGTTTGTCATATATGGCCTTTATTATGTTGAGGTATTTGCCCTCTATACCCATTTTGTTGAGAGCTTTTATCATGAATGGATGTTGAATTTTGTTGAATGCTTTTTCAGCATCTATGGAGATGATGTGGTTTTTGTACTTCCTTTTGTTGATGTAGTGGATGATGTTGATGGATTTTCAAATGTTGTACCATCCTTGCATCCCTGGAATAAATCCTAGTTGATCATGATGGATGATTTTTTTATGTATTTTTGAATTTGGTTTGCTAATATTTTGTTGAGTATTTTGCATCTATGTTCATTGAGGATATTGGTCTGTAATTTTCTTTTTTTGTGGTGTCTTTACCTGGTTTTGGTATTAGAGTGATGCTGGCCTCATAGAATGAGTTTGGAAGTATTCCCTCTTCTTCTCTTTGGGAAACTTTAAGGAATATGGGTATTAGGTCTTCACTAAATGTTTGATAAAATTCAGCGGTGAAGCCATCTGGTACAGGCATTTTGTTCTTACATAGGTTTTTGATTACCAGTTCAATTTCATTGCTGGTAATTGGTCTGTTCAGATTTTCTGTTTCTTTCTGGGTCAGCCTTGGAAGGTGTCATTTTTCTAAAGAGTTGCCTATTTCTTCTAGGTTATCCAGTTTTTAGCATATAATTTTTCATAGTATTCTCTAATAATTCTTTATATTTCTGTGGTGTCCATTGTGATTTTTCCTTTCTCACTTCTGATTCTGTTTTATGTGTGTAGACTCTCTTTTTTTCTTGATAAGTCTGGCTAGGGGTTTATCTATTTTGTTTATTTTCTTGAAGAACCAGTTCTTGCTTTCATTGATTCTTTCTATTGTTTTATTCTTCTCAATTTTATTTATTTCTACTCTAATCTTTATTATGTCCATCCTTCTACTGACTTTGGGCCTCCTTTGTTCTTCTTTTGCTAGTTTCTTTAATTGTGAGTTTAGACTGCTCATATGAGATTGTTCTTCTTTCCTGAGGTAGGCCTGTATTGCAATATACTTTCCTCTCAGCACGGCCTCCGCCTTGTCCCACAGATTTTGCAGTGTTGAATTACTGTTGTCATTTGTCTCCATACATTGTCTGATCTCTGTTTTTATTTGGTCATGAATCCATTGGTTATTTAGGAGCATGTTGTGAAGCCTCCATGTGTTTGTGGGATTTTTCATTTTCTTTGCATAATTTATTTCTAGTTTCATACCTTTGTGATCTGAGAAGCTGGTTGGTACAATTTCAATCTTTTTAAACTTACCGAGGCTCTTTTTGTGGCCTAGTATATGATCTATTCTTGAAAATGTTCCATGTGCACTTGAGAAGAATGTGTATTCTGCTGCTCTGGATGTCAGGTCCATCTGTTCTAATGTGTTGTTCAGTGCCTCTGTCTCCTTATTTTCTGTCTGGTTGATCTATCCTTCAGAGTGAGTGGAGAGTTGAAGTCTCCTAGAATGAATGCATTGCATTCTATTTCCCCTTTTAATTCTGTTAGTATTTGTTTGACATATATAGGTGCTCCTGTGTTGAGCGCATAGATATTTACAACAGTTACATCTTCTTGTTGGATTGACCCTTTTATCATTATGTAATGTCCTTCTTCGTCTCTTGTGACTTTCTTTGTTTTGAAGTCTATTTTGTCTGATACAAATACTGCAACTCCTGCTTTTTTCTCCCTATTAGTTGCATGAAATATCTTTCTCCATCCCTTCACTTTTAGTCTGTGTATGTCTTTGGGTTTGAAGTGAGTCTCTTGTAGGCAGGATATAGATGGGTCTTGTTTTTTTATCCATTCAGTGACTCTTTGTCTTTTGATTGGTGCATTCAGTCAATTTACATTTAGGGTGATTATCGATAGGTATGTACTTATTGCCATTGCAGGCTTTAGATTTGTGGTTACCAAAGGATCAAGGTTAACTTCCTTACTCTCTAAGAGTCTAACTTAACTCACTTAATATGCTATTACAAACACAATGTCAAGGTTCTTTTTTTTTTTCTCCTCCTTTTTCTTCCTCCTCCATTCTTTATATATTAGGTATCATATTCTGTACTCTGTCTATTCCTTGGTTGACTTTGGGGATAATTAACTTAATTTGCATTTGATAGTAATTAGCTGTTCTACTTTATTTACTGTGGTTTTGTTACCTCTGGTGACAGCTATTAAAGCTTAAAACACTTCCATCTATAGCAGTCCCTCCCAAAACACACTGTAGAGATGGTTTGTGGGAGGTAAATTCTCTCAGCTTTTCCTTATCTGAAAATTGTTTAATCCCTCCTTCAAATGTAAGTGATAATCTTGCCAGATAAAGTAATCTTGGTGGGAGGCTCTTATGCTTCATTGTGTTAAATATATCATGCTACTCCCTTCTGGCCTGTAAGGTTTCTGCTGATAAATCTGATGAGAGCCTGATAGGCTTTCCTTTGGATGTGATCTTATTTCTCTCTTTGGCTGCTTTTAGTAGTCTGTCTTTATCCTTGATCTTTGCCATTTTAATTACTCTGTGTCTTGGTGTTGTCTTCCTTGGGTCCCTTGTGTTGGTAGATCTGTGGATCTCCATGACCTGAGAGACTATCACCTACCCCAGATTGGGGAAGTTTTCAGCAATTACCTCCTCAAAGACACTTTGTATCCCTTTTTCTCTCTTCTTCTGATGGTACCCCTATAATATGAATATTGTTTCATTTGGATTGGTCACACAGTTCTCTCAATATTCTTTCATTCTTAGAGATTCTTTATTCTCTCTGCGCCTCAGCTTCTTTGTAGTCCTCTTCTCTAGTTTCTATTTCATTCATCGTCTCCTCCACCATATCTAATCTGCTTTTAATACCCTCCATTGTGCTCTTCAATGATTGGATCTCTGACCTGAATTCATTCCTGAGTTCTTGAATATCTTTCCGTACCTCCATGAGCATTGTCAATGATTTATATTTTGAACTCCCTTTCAGGAAGATTCATGAGGTCGATGTTATCTTTCTCAGTAGTTGTATTAATAATTTTACTCTGAACCAGGTTCCTTTGGCATTTTGTATTTGTATATGTTGCCATGTAGTGTCCAGAAGGTCTATTCTCTGGAGCCGCTCAGCCCCACAAAGCAATCTCGGGTGTCTCAGGGGAGTGGTATTGGTGCCTGGGGGGAGGAAATAGCTGTTTCCTGCTTCCCAGCTGCTGTGCCTGTCTCCACTACCTGAACTAGTGGGCCGAGCACACAGGTATAAGCCTCTATGCTTGTGTTTGTAGTTGCTGGAGACAGATCTTCCCTCTGGCTGGCCCAATGCCAGGGTAGTGTTTGCCAGTTTGCGAGCCAGGTGGGGCTGGCCGAGAGAAAGGCTTAGTAGGCTGCATATCATGGAAAGGGTCCCTGGAGCTGTGTAGCCAGCCAGGGAGCTGGAGCACCTGAAGATCGTGAAAGCTCCCAACCTGCTGGGCAGAGTGCACCCAGAGAATTTTGTCTACCTGTCCTTTCTCCTGAGCAGTAGGCTCTGTGCAATCCTTGCCCCTTTAGCAGCCCTCTTGCTAAGGGTTTTCTTGTTAGGAAGTTTCTCAGACTGCTTGCCTTTCTTTTGGTCCAGAGCAGCCATATATGGATCCCTGGTTTCCACAAGCAGCTGGAATCCCAGTCTCCCCAGGAACTCTGCCTGTCCCAGCTTTCTAATCCTCTAATCACAAGAGTACCATGAAAGCACCATGAAATGTAGGTTTGTACTCCCAGAGCAGATCTCCGGAGCTAGGTATTCAGTAGTCCCAAGCCTTCCACTCCCTCCCTGCTCTGTTTCTCTTCCTCCTGCCAGTGAGCTGGGGTGGGGGAGGGGCTTGGGTTCCTCCAGACCATAGCTTTGGTACATTACCCTGTTCTGTGAGGTCTGCTCTTTTCTCCAGGTGTATGCAGTCTGGCACAGTCCTCTTTTCTGTTGCCCTTTCAGGATTAGTTGTATTAATTATATTTTCGTATTATATGCGGTTTTAGGAGGAAGTCTCTGTGTCACCTCTCATGCTGCCATCTTTTCTACTCCTGTATTTCTTGATGCCTTGGCATTTATATGTGTATGTGTAGGTTTTTTTGTTTTGTTTTGTTTTTGTTCTTGTTGGATGTTTGCAGTTTCCCAGATACACTTAAGCATCTGAAAGCAGTACCTCTATCCTTTAGTTCCTTTGTATCTTCCCCAAGGCATTAAGAAAGTGGGAATCAGCTTTACACATCCCACCCCAAACCTTCATCTTTAAGCTCAGGACTCACTGTCTGACAGCTTCAGGGATGTGGACCTGCTCCAAGGAGATTAGTTGGGTCAGTTCTCCCACGCTGTTCAAAAAACGGATCTTTCTTGTGAACCTGGAACTGAAAAGAGAGGATAAAACAAGTGTGTTTTATACTGGGAAGAGGGCTCCTGGAGACATGTGCAAAGGTAAATTTAGCAGACAGTGGTTAAGGCTAGAAAGAGTCAGGCTAGAGCAAGATCTTAATCTTGGTTTTGAAAATGGGGAGTAGAGCAAGGGGGTCCTTGTCTCCAGAACTAGTACCTGATGAAGGGCCGAAGCAGGGCCAGCAGCGCTTTCACATGCCATGTAGCATGGACAATGACCAGGGCACTCAGGTTTTTTTGTAGCCTGAAGAATACAAAATCATTCTATTCTTCCACATTCATGCCTGAAGACCAGGTGGAGCTGTCTTCTGTACTGTAACTTCCTTCAGTTTTGTAAGTTCTAGATTTCTCTGGCAGTTGGGTCTACTCCCCATTCCTTTACCTGCAATTTCACCTTCATCCATCTTGTTCAGTCTCCACGATCCTCATTTTTTGGGAAACTTTCCTCTCAGAATCCCTTAGCCTGGTCTTCTCTACTGCATTTCTCTCCTGGGCCGCACCCTCAAGTAAATTCTTTTTGTACAGTTCTCCATCCCTCCATAACCAAGACTAGTTATAAAACCCCAGGTGGAAGAAGATCATTAAGGAGAAAGAAAAAAAAAGGAACAAGAAAGAAAAAATAAAACAGTGAGCAGTGGGAGGATGGGGGAAAGAAAGGGAGCAAAAAAGAGCCATCAGGAGAACAAAGACATATAGGTGAGGGATGAAGGCAGAGAAGACAGTGAAGATGTGGAAAGTGAAGTAAATTAAGACTGTGAGCAAGGAAGGGGTGCCTTCTTTGTACCAGGCAATATGCCACACTGATTTACTTGATTTTCACAACTACCCAGTTGCCAATATTATTAACATTGCCATTTTACAGATAAGGAAACTGACTCCCAGAAAGGTTAAGTGACTTTTACAAAGTCATACAGCTAGTAAATGGTAAAGACAAGATTTGAAATTAGGCTTCCCTGACTCTAAGTGAGGATGGAAGACAGACAGGAGATTTGGAAAGGGGTGTAAAGAAACAAAAGAGGAAGGGATTCAGTGGAAGAAATAATGGAAAGATGAAAAAGATAAGATAGATAGTTGTAGCCCTCTCATCCCAGAGGCTCACCTCCGATCCAGAGTACGGTAGCACTGGCATATCCAGCTTAGAGGTGGAACTTGGGCCCTGCTTGAACCTCCACTCAAGTGAACAAGCAGATAATTTTCAGCTACCAGCAGTTCCAGAGTTCCTACCATATATCTGGGGAGATGAAACTGTCAGGGAAGGTATGTACTGGGAATTGTGGGGAGGGAGACGGACATTACTACAGACTCTGCGACCAGCTACTAATCATAGGAGGGGTTCTTTATTAGTTTTCCATCCCTAACATCCATGCTGGAGCCCTTGAGGCCTTCCACCTCACCTGAACAAACGTTCCATGACATAGGTATAGTTGGGGATGCTGCTTCTGGGCAGGTAACAGGAAGCAAAGAGAATGACAGCATTGAGGCCATCACCATGGTAACCTGGGGAGGGTAAGGGGATAATTCAGTCAGTCAACAAATACATATTGACAGACAGTGTATCTGTTCAGGCTGAGGGCCTCTTGAGGGTCTCTGGAAGTCACAGAGAGGATACTGAACCCATTAACTGAGCTTATAGCTTAGACATTTTATTTCAGTTCTTACCTCTCCACTTAAGCTAACCATTACCTCCATGAGACAGGATTTTTTTATAGGGTCCAATGGCAGTCATATCCACTTGCTGCTCCCGCTGTCCTGTTCGGAACATCCTCCAGTGACGACCATCTTCTCCAGCCACATCCTGCACACAACTCCAGCCCAGCCTGTCAGCTGCCTCACTGGCCCCCAGCCCCTCTGCCTGGGGCAGCTCATCTGAAAGACAGAAACAGGGCAGAATCAATAATAAGCAGACTCAGGCAGAGAAAGACAAGTACCGAATGATTTCACTTATCTCTGGAGTATAACAACAAAGCAAAAACTGAAAGAACAAAACAGCAGCAGAATCACAGAACCCAAGAATGGACTAACAGTTACCAAAGGGAAAGGGACTGGGGATGATGGGTGGGAAGGGAGGGATAAGGGGAATAAGGGGCATTACGATTAGCACAGATAATGTGGGGGTGGGGACACGGGAAAGGCAGCATATACAGAGAAGACAAGTAGTGATTCTACAACCTCTTACTATGCTGATGGACAGTGACTGAAATGGGGTTTGTGGGGGGGACTTGGTAAAGGGGGAGTCTAGTAACCACAATGTTGTTCAAGTAATTGTACATTAATGATATCAAAATTAAAAAATTAAAAAAAAATAATAAGGCAGACTACACACCTTCCATATCTCGTAATTTCCCCAGGTTCCTAGAATTTATTACTCCAACCTCTTATTCCTCAATTTCTTCCTGTGATCTAGTCCTAGTTTGTTCAGTCAACCCAACTCCTTGCTGGTCTCCTTTTCCTGGGACTCATTACCCTCACTTTTTCACTAGACAATGGCCTTGAGGTAACCTTGCACTATGGTAGGCCCGTGCCAGTTTCAAATTTTTTCCATCTTTCTACACTTTTCCTTGGGTAAGCTCATCTACTTCTATGTCTTCAATTAGTAAAATCAGTAACATGATGATTCTAAATTGTCCTTTCTAACCCAGACTTCTCTTCTCACTCCAGAACCATATCCCTAACCGCCTCAAACAGACATCTCTATTTTGCATCTTTCTGTCATCTCCAAGTCAGCAGACCCAAAGTGCTGACTCGAAGTTCAAGCTCATTCTCTTCCTCCTCTCTCTATTTCCTTTCTTGATGAATGACTCCATTATCTAGCTGCCTGAGAAACTGTATGTCATCCGAGACTCTTTCTTTTCTATAGTGCTCAAGCCACAGGACCCAGAACCTCTTCCGTCTACCTTCATTATATTCTTTTGTCATTCTTTCTACTACTACACTTCTGGTTCAGATTCTCACCTGGCCTTACTACTAGCCTTCTAACAGGACTCCCTGCCCCTAGTCTGTTTTCCTTCATACTACCCTTTACACAATTGCTACAATAAGCTTTCTTTCCTTGCCTACCTTTTTTACTCAAATGGCAATATACTATACCCACTAATTCTGCATGATCTTTCCATAGCAATGGAAAGAGCTACTTCATCTTAAAAAATAGTTGCCTAGTATTTCATTGTATGGTTGTAACATAATAGAATTAATACTATATTGATGGACCTTCATGTTTCTAATCTTTTTGGAGCTATTAAGTCTGATGTTACTCCTTTGACTAAAACCATTCAATGACTCACTATCACCAACTGGACAAACTCTAAACTCCCTGGGTTGCACAATAGCAAGGCCCTCTGTGACTTGACTCAACCTACTAAATTAAGCACTATCTTTTGTCACTCTTTCTTCACCTCCCAGCCCTTTGTATCTATGATATAATAATAAATGTGTATTTTAGTTTGGTTCCTGACTCCTTAAACAGCTCCTGATGATAAAGGTGAAAGAGTATCTTTTGTTATTCATCACAAGCCCCATTCAACCATATCAGGCGATGTTAATTAGATGAATTTGGAAAGCTACTAAGGATGGTGGCTGGTTGCCAGGGGAATCAACCCCAGGAAGTTAGAGGGTTTGAACTATCATCCTCTGACCTCTAGGGAGGAGACTAGAGGTTGTGTTAACCACTAACAGTCAGTGATCTAATCAGTCATGCCTACATGTGAAGCCTCCCTAAAAAACCCTAACTGAAAGAGTTCTGGGAGTTTCCATGTTGGTGCTGGCAGGGTGGTATGCCTAGAGAGGGCAAGGAGGCTCTCCATCACTTCCTTGTCCTGTGCATCTCTTCCTTCTGGCTGTTCCTGAGTTGCGCCCTCTTACAATAAACCTGTAATCTTGTTACTAAACTGTTTTCTCGAGTTCTGTGAGCCATTCTAGCAAACTATCAAACCTGAGGAGGGGGTAGTGGAAACTTCTGATTAATAGCCAGTCAGTCAGAAGCACAGATGACAGCCTGTGCTTATGATTGGTGTCTGAACTCTGGGGGCAATTTTGTGGGTAAGCTCTTAACCTGTCAGGTCTGTGATAACTCCAACTGTCATTACTGAATTGCAGGACACCCAGTTGGTGTCTGGGGAGTTTGGAGAATTGGTTAATGTGGGCAAACCCCACACATTTAGTGTCATAAGTATTGTGATTAGAGAAGAAACAAAGTTTTCCTTAATATCTAAATAGTCATGCCTACTACTCTATTCCCAACATGCCATGCTATTACTGTCCAAATTGCTTCTTCCACTTAGAATGGCTTTCCAACCACCTGATAAACATCAGCTCAGGATCACCTCGTCTGTAGTCTTCCCTAACACCTCTCAGGAAGAACTGACCTTTTCTTTCTCCTTGTGTATACTGTACCCTATACACATGTAGATCATAACCTTTAATTGTGCTTATTTGAATATTTGTTTATTACTTACTAAACAGAGAATTCCCTGATGGTAGGGACTATCTTACTCATCTTTATAACTCAGTTACAGCAGTGATAGCATGTAACAGTCATTCAATAAAATTTTCTGTAATAAACAAAGAATCTCCCCCTCCCCCTGCCAACTCTACTGACTACTCTCACATTGGATCTATAAGCTCTACCTTTCCATCTGCAGAAATTAATTTTACTGACCTTAACTCTTGTTCCCCACCTTATTAGTTCTAACTTCAGTCTCATTAAACCTATCCTGAGCTTCTTTAGCATTGGGCTCTACTTCTACCAGCTCAGTCCTCGGGTTTCTTTCCCACCTTCCCATTCAAATTCATGTCCGCTGTCCAGTTGCTCCGAGTCTGAAGGTGTTTCCAATTCGTCTACCTCTAGGTCAGAACTGCCATCAGGAGAAGAAGGCACAGAGTGGGTGGGAGAAGCTCCACGATCTCCAGGCCTCTTAGTCAGATTCAGTTGCAACTCTGGGGCAGAAAGACGCTTGCGCATGGGGTGCTGGCCACACAGGGCTAAAGTGCTGGGGATATCTGGGGTTGGATGAGGGGGTAAAAAGAACAGAAAGATGTGTGTGAGTTGGCAGGGGAGTTTAGAATGTCCATATATGGAAGTGCTAATATGGGGTGAATTCTAAAGAGGGACTAACACCAGAGACACTTGGGAAAAGGGAAGTAGAACTGCAAAGGGATAGACCTTCTATGGACTAGAATCAAGAACTTGAGGCCTTGTTTTTTTTCCCCCCTGGTTTAATTGAAATATAGATTATATAATATGAAGTTTAAGGTGTACAACATGATGACTCGATATGGGTATATATTGTGAAATGATTACCACAATTAAATTAGTTAACACCTCCAACCTTCACACAATTGCCTTTTGTGTGTGTGGTGATTACATTTAAAATCTTTTTTAACAACTTTATATAATGCAGTATTAATAATAGATACCATGCTGTACATTAGATCACCAAACTTATTAATCGTATAGCTGCAAGTTTGTACCCTTTGAAACAATCTCCCCCCCTCCACCACCTTGGCAACCACCATTTGATTATCCATTACTGTGAGTTCAGCTTTTCCATGATTCCAAATACAAGTAATTGTCTTTCTCTGATTTATTTCACTTAGCATAATGTTGAAGCCTCGGTTTTAATTTACCTACCTGCCTGTGAGTCTCTTTTAAGATTGTCAGGATCTTCAGAAGGGTCAGTCTCTTCAGGAAGCCATCTAGAGGGGAAGAGATTAAAAGGAGGCAGAAATACAGGCTAAAGGAATCAAGCCAGGTATCCATTTATCTATTTTACTTCCCACCACAATTTTATCATCTCTGCTTCCTTTTTCCCATCTCTCTCCTTCAAGTCCTAATTCACCATCCCTGCCCTCTGTGACCATCCCACCGACCCTAACCTAGGGAATTCTTCACCCTGCCATTCCTCCTTCAGCCCCAGTTCCCCAAGACTAGGGAAGCTCCTAATCCTGCTGCTTCTGCATTCTCGCTGGCCCTAAGATAGTCTCCCAGAAGAAAAATTATCATGAGACAAACTAGTCAGTGTCTTAAGGGAACTGGACAGTAGGTAGGAGACACTGCAACGAAGAACCCTAAGGTACAGAGCAGAGAGCAGGCCTTAAAAAGAACTCAATCTCTTGACTTCTAGATAGATGTTTCTGTCACTTTCACCACATGCTGGAAACAGATCACCCCTCCTTGTTGGACCACAGAAAGGACAGAATGTAAAGCTAATCATATTTACCTCTATGGCAGTTGCTCTGCCTACACAATAGGGGTGAGAAGTATTCCACATTACATTTGGCTGGAACCCAACAGACCTGCCTAACTGCCACTGGGCAATGTTGGCGAAGATGGTACCTAGACAAGCCTGCCTTTCCTCTGCCACACTGGGGAATGGTCAGGGGAAATCATGGTATAGGTGGAGGGGTAAGGGAAGAAAGTAAAGAGGAAGAGAGGTTCTCTGAGAAGGAGAACCTGGACCTAAACTTAGTTCTGGGTTAGCTCTCCTGATGGCCCTTCTGGAGGGATAGGTGTTAGAAAACAGAGAAATGGTTAGATTTATCAGACACAAAATATAGAAACTTCCTTTAAAACAAAAAGAAACAATAATTATACTGGAATCTCCTGTTCTGCAGTTCCCTACCATACTGATTGACATTTCCTGCTTAAAGCCAGCCCCGTCCCTTCTCTGCAAATTAATTCTCTTACATTCTTCTCTCCTCTAGGAACCCAAGATTTTATCTGGTAAGAGCTGGATGGTGGGGAAGCCCTCAAGACTATTCACTCTTTATTTCTAATCAAGGTAATCATGATCTTACTTACCCAAGATCTAATGTCTTTTCTCCTGCCTCTTGTATAGTTTCCATCTTCACAAGTCTTCCTGGCTCCTTCTTTAAACACTTGGAGTTGTCCACCAGCTCCCCAGCCCTCTGTAACCCCTTTCTTTGTCTCAGCTGTTGTTTCTCTTGCCTCCGAGGAGGAGAGAGGTGTGGAAGAGAGGTAACGTCACCTTCAAACAGGTTTTGCCACCTCCCTTCCCTTCCTAAGGAGCAGGTTTGCCCAAAAGAAAAATCCTGCCTATGTAGGGGCGGGTTTTGAGGAGGATAGTACATTTTCTAAAGTGACTAGTCTTGAATGGATCTAGAAAGGCAATATTTTTCCTTTTTAGACTCTTTAAAACTTTCTGAAAGCTGTTTTTTTTTGGTTGTTGTTTGTTTTTTAAAGCAATGGTAAAAAAACATTTTGATTTTAATACTGACTTAGGCCTACTTTTCAAGCATAAGCAAAACTGGGGACACAGAAGAATGTTATAAGGAGGGTTTTGGATGCAGAAATAAATTAAGGGAAAACTGAAAATGAGAGAAGAGAGAAGACTGTTGCTCCTCATTCCAAAAAAAAGTCAACAAAAGAAGACATTAAGTATAGAAGGAAAAAGGGAGATGAATCTTGAGGAACCTGAAATAATTATCAGAGGGAAATACCTAATTACAGTTGTAAAAAGAGACAGTAAGACTGTAAACAGGAAAAAAGTATTTAATACTTTAACAAATACAAAATAAAGTACCCAAGTTACAAAACATAAATTCCTTTGGTTCAGTAATCACACCACTTTTTTTACTTTCCAATGGCTACAGACATCAGCCCATGAAAGTGAAGTCAGACTGTCCCCCTCATACTGAAGATGTCATGCCAAAACCACTGCATACCCCACTGTTTAGTGAAACTGTTGGCAACTTACATGGGATAGAGCTTTGGGGTAGGAAAAGGTGGAACAGGTTGTCTAAAGAAAAAAGGGAGACTGTATACATGCAGAGTAAGACAGTGGGAAGGAGCTTTTTGTGGGTCACTATGGTTATGAATCATACCCCTGTACATGCTACATGAGGCTGGGTCCTTTACTACAATCACATATAAATGCAGACAGTCCAGTGACCCTGAACTTCCCCAGGGAAAAGAGAAGAAAACAACAACCAAAAGCAGAGAAGCAGAGGAGAGAAAGGAAGGCAGCAACAGGCAGACCACAGGATAGCAGAGAACATAGTCCAGATCCTCAGCTTTACAGATGAGAAAATGAAGTGGCTTTCCAAAAGACACACAGTTCATGGCAGTTGGTATTAGAACTCCATGCTTGCTTTTAATATGAACAAGAGAAAGAGATGGACAAGAAAATGAAAGGCCCGCTATGGTGAGGCAGAGGCTGGCTCTCACTGCAATTCTGCTGTCTTTGGGGAAGAGTGCCTATGAGGTCTTAGGCCTGCCTGGGTATCTCCTGGACTCTCAAGAACCAGGGTGTTCTGGGTCCTTTCAGGGTCCCTGCAGCTCTGGGACAGAGCGATCAGAGATACTGAGAACTAGGCTACCTGATCTGGACAGAAAATGCTGGCCTCCAGTCTGCTCCCAAACAATCCTGAAAGAGTCTCAATAAACTAGGAATAGAAATTTAGCCATCTGGGACTCAGACACCTATTACCTAACTGAGGGCAGAAAGAGGAATCACGGAGTGGGAAATCTGCTAACGGCTGAAAACTGGAGTAAGAGTTTCCCAGGCACATTCTACTTTCTATCTAGCTTAAAGTAGGTATTTAATAAGTATCTGAATTAATAAGAGAATGAATGAATATATGAAGACGATGAGTGCTGGGTTCCACGAGAGATACTGGTTCTGTTAAAGAGCCTTACTGAGGGCCCTTTCAGGGTGCACACTCTTTTTGTGCCCCTCTGCAGGAACTGGGTATGTATTACATTATCCCCCTGGCAAATGAAATAGATGAGAGTCAATGCAGATTTAAATAATTAAATTAAATAATAAAATTTGTCTGATTACTAGAGATTGGGGAGGAAGAGGCAGAAAGCCATCCCTAAAGCAGCTGCTTTCTCTACTTCTTTTTCCTCCCAGATTTATGAGAACAGCACACCAGAACCTGGAGCAATGAACACAGAACTGCTGAAACAGCTCAAAACATGCATTTGAGGTGAATCAAGCAACCTCTCTCACTCTCCCCTCCCCTCCTCTCCCAATAGTCACTTCTTGGACAGGGGAGCAGTGGTAGACTGTGACAGCGAGATCTGACTGCACTTCTCAAAGACGACCTCGGCTGAGAGTTTAGGCAGCCCCTGATCCAGGGGGCACTCATCCACCAAGCTGTTCATAGGCGTGGGGGGCAGTGGAGGCTCCTCCTCATCTTGACTCAGTCCAGAAATCAGGGAGTTACCTGCCCTGTCCAATTCCTTGTCCTCCTGTTCCCTGGACATATCCTCTGTCTCAGGCTGCCCTGAAGGAATCTTCATGGAGTCAAAATATGCTGACAGGGCTTTCTGGAGTAGAGGCAGAAGTTTCTTTCGAGAGACCTGGGTGTTGCCCTGAAGATAGGCTTGGAGGTTAGGGTGGGTGCTTGGGGTAGAGGTCAGATTCAGGGGTGGAGAGTGGGAGTGTTCCAGAACTCCACAAATCTAAAGAGGAGACAAGACCGAGAGAGGGTGTATGAGGTGGTGAAGCAGAGCTGAGGCTTCTAAGTTAGAAGTTTCTTTTAGTAAGAAAATAATTTGTTATCAAGTCATCCAGAGTTGAGTTTTTTTGCTTGCAACAAAAGGCACATCAGCTAATACACATAGTATTTTAGAAACAGAAAAAACATTTGAGATCATATATTTCATTTTATTCATAAGTAAACCAAAGCCCAGATAGATTAAGGGTCTTGAGCAAAATCATGTAATTGATGGTAGAGTCTGAAGCAGAGCCCAGGACCCTATGAGCTCCTAGCCTGGTATTGTCTCCAAGTGCATTCCTCTGCTCAAAAACTTGAACTCTATCCTTAGCTAGAGTGGGATAAGAATCTGTACTGAGGTCATGAGAAAGACAGAAGCAGGAAGAATGAATAGATCAAAGTGGCAGTGGGACATATGATAGGCATGGTGCCAACTCTGGCAATTTACAAATGTTATCTCATTTAATCCTCACAGGTACCTTGTAATATTGGTATTACTATTACCTTCACTTACAGGTAGGGAAACCGAGGCTCAGATAGATTACATAAATTGCGTATGGTCATAGCTTGAATGAAGAAAAGCTGACACTTGAACCCAAGCCAGTGTTCTAAATCACTATATTATACTATTTCTAGGAGGAAGAGAGGAGATGGTAGGGCAGACTGTGAAAAGAGGACTCCATTTCCCAGCTCAGAGGCAGCTTGGGAATAGTTGTGTCTTCAGATACCTGCACAATTTCAGAAGAGTGGCACAGAGGCGCTGTGGTGGGGAGAAGGTAGGGAGATTTAGGAAGGTGGGCAGAGGCACTTATGGCCAAAGCACCCTTTCCTTCATGACATGATTAGTAAAAGCCACCATTTACAGTTTATTTTGGGTCCAGTAGTATACTTTACACACGATATTGTTTAATGATCACATCAAACTAATTAGTAGGTAGTATTATGTCATTTGTGGACTAATAGGTCAACTGACTTGCCTTAGCTCAAAGAGCAAGAAAGTGACAAATCTGGGACAGAAAAGTATGTCTATCTGTCTTTAAAAACCGTAGCTCTTTCTACAATGCTAAACCACCTTCCACTGAGTTTAGAAATAACATTTGCTGCCTGCAGGAGAAGAACAGACGACACACCTACTATGGGTGCAAAGGATTACCAGGCTGTGTTCAGACCAGACTTCAGCAATCCTCAAGAAACCCAGAGAAGCCCTGGACTGCCTTTAGTCCACTTTTAAATTCTTTCCTGGGCTAATCAGTAACCAACAGAGGAAAACAAAAGGGAGGAGGTGGGGAAGGTGGCCAGCAGAAAACCAGGTAAGAGAACAAGCCTGCTCCCAGATAACTTCTTACAGAGTTAGCGTTACACAGAGTAATTAATCTCTGTGTGGCTCAGTAGCAGAAAAGTTTTCTCCTGGGTTCCAATTTTCAGTGCAATGGGGTAAAAAGAAAGGAATTGACTGGCAAGGGTGAGGAATTAATGCTTAAACCAAGAATTGAGTTTTGAGTTCAGATTTATAACATTTCCTTTTAACCTGATTTCAAGTTTCTTCTAAATAGGATTGTGTCTTTAATTCTCTTTGGAATCTCCCTTTCTCAATGACAGTATGATTAAGAATATTCATGTATATAGAGAATGGAAAACAGCAGGACAAGGAGATTCTGGAAATAGGTCAAGGGACCTCTGTGTAAATATAAGAACCAAGGAGAGGTCTCTACAGCACAGGGCAGTGAGTACAGGCAAAGCTCTGTTGGCCCCTTGGGTTGCAGAAGAATCAGAGACTCACCGTCATTCGGAGTGCTGCATGGGGACAGAAAACAGCCAACTGCCTCATTGGCTCATTGTGAGTGTTGAAAAATATGGTCATGGCGACCAGGACATCAAAGTTGTGAGCCTGGCAGAACACATGGAGATCTGTAATGAGGCTAGACCTCTGCAGAAAGGCCTGAAAGAGAAGAAATGGACAGGGATGAGGGCTACAGCTGGACCCTCCTTGTCGCCATCAACAAAAAAATGCTTATGAAGTGTTTCTTTGCAGGTTAACCTGGGAATTCATATTCCATAAAAAAAGCTATCTGATATTTACTCTGTGTTATCTCTGTGTTGAGAGGCAGTATGTAGAATATGGTGAACATAGGACATGGGTTCAGACAGAATTGGTTTGAAAATCATTTCTATTACCTATTAGCTAAATGATCAAGGAATTACATTGACCTCCCTGGACTTAAGTTTACTCACTTGTAAAATGAGGAAAAAACATTTACCAAACATGATTGTCTTAAGAATTAAAAAACTATACTGTATATAACATTCCTGGCATGTACAAGGAAGGGTTTCCTGTTCTTGCAAACAAGCAAGGTTTTTGCTTGTGGGTATTTTTATTCTAAAACAGAACAATGGGGCACACAAATAAGAACAGACACGTGCAGCTACATCCTTGGCTGTTGATTCTTTGTCAATCTATACTCTTCTTCCAAATTCTCATGCAGTATTTCCTACAATGAGTAACACCATCAGCTGTTTCAGATTAGGGCTTTTCTCTATTCTTGACATTTCTAATGTGTTAATTTGTATTGTGATTACGGTACTTGGCAACCCTTTTATGTCCTTAACGTTTGTTTCCCAAACTAGGTTATGAGTCACAAGGGCAGAGGCCATGCTATTTTGTTTTATTTAATTATTTAGTATTTTTACACAGTATTTAAAAGAAAGCTGTGCAGACCATGAGAGTATGTGTTCAGATCAGATTGTCCAATGATTTAAACCAATATGATATGGAACCAAGTATTAAAATACCATTATCCAAATATATCCAAATATATATTCAAAGTGAATATCGAAAGTTATATTCATTCACTCATTCAACAAAATATACAGAGTCTCCATGTGCCAGACACTGTCAAAGGTGCTGGAGAAATAGCAGACAGAAAAGAAATATGGTCCCTGCTCTGGTGGACCCTCAAGTTGGATAAACTAGTAGAGGAAAATAGACAGTAAGTAAAGAAAACATGAAACATGATTGTTTCTGTGTGTTAAATGCTGTGAAGAAAACAAAATAAGGTAATTCTTAGAGGTTTTGGAGCACAGAGGATATTACTTCAGTTACGGTGGTCAGGAAAAACCCCTCAAAAGAGGAGGCATCTGAGCTAAGACCTGAATAAGAGAGCTGGCTTGGCAAAGGGAAAAGCAAGCACAAAGACTCCGGAGCTGGGAATGAGCTTAATGGTCCGGGAACAGAGAGCCAACCTGCGCGGCCACAGCATGGTGAGCGCAGGGGTGGAGCTGGGATGGGATGAGTCAGAAAGACAAGTGCCAGGTCACAGAGGGCCTGCAAACCACAGTGAGATTTTATTAGAGGTGCAGTGAGAAGGCAGCTAAAGGAAGGAGGCTGATATGATCTGACTTACATCTTAAAGAGATCACTCCAGCTGCTGTGGGGAGAATGGTTTGTAGGGTTGTAAAAGTGGAGGCAGGGAAACCAGGATGGAGGTCATTATAAAGTGCAGTGAGAGACGATGGACTATGGGAGTTACAGTAAACATGGAGAAAAGTACATAGGTACAAGATATATCTTGGAGGTGGCCCAGGAGTTGGGGGCAGGTCACATACCTAACTGGAAGTCTTCTCTCCCGCCCACAGCTGCATCTTGCTCTTACCTGCAAGTCCATATATATAGCACTGACGGCCACCTTCGCGCCTTGTCTGGAGATAGTCTTCAGGTCCTTTCTCAGCATCTGCTCAGTGGTCAGTTCTAGAAAATGGATGTGAGACTGGGGGTCAAACAAGAGAGCTGAGTCCAAAGACCAGGAAGGTGAGGACACCAAGCCGAGTCAAGGCAGAGGAAAAACACAGCTTCTCTTTGGGGCAGTGAACAGGGGAGATTACTGATAACGTAATTATGCAATTAAAAAAATTCCTTTAAATAACTGGGCCACAATAGTTATCTTTAAAGCAAGGGATTTTGGAGAGAAGAGTGAAAGGAAGAGAGGCTTTTACTTTTGACTTTTCCCTTTCTGTGTGTTAGCCTTCTGCAAGCAGACGTGGTACTCTTTCTTCCTTTTTATACGTCAGCAGGTGGTAGCTGAGTAGGAAATTACAGAAGTTTTGTTGTTTTCATCTTGTGTTTGGACACTACCCCTAAATGTTCCTTCTGCTTCCCTAAGCAATTATCTACATCTCTAAAAATTTAGTATATTTTATTTATATGTCTATATTCTCTGATTAAACTGGAAGCCTCTGAGACTCTTAATGTATTTCTCCTCATCCTACCCAATAGCCAGGATAGAACAATCCAGTAAACTATTGATTAGTTCATGACCGGATTCATTCACTACTTTGTTTCTTTCTAGTTCAAAGCTTAAATCATTATGCATGCTCTGAAATTCTTTTGACAGTGTTCAAGAATATAATGAACAAGGCCTGCCCATTTGTTTTCTCACATGGGAGAGAGACAAGTCAGTTTACACTTGTCTTCAATATAAGACATTATACCTGATATATCAAACTTTGCCTTTTGCAGAGAATCAAAGATGTCATTTCTCTTGGGCAGATCTGGAAAGAGGGCCTCCAGCTTCTCCACATATTTGTTGTCCTTTGCAGTTGCCTTTTCAATTTTAAGGTCCATGTTGACACAGTCCAGGATGATTGTTCCTGTGGGGAAGGGAGATGGTGGAACTCAAATACCATGGCCCTCCATTCACAACTGTCAGGACACACATAACCCTCAAACCAAATGGACACAATACAGAGGAGACGATAGGGCAAACTTGCTGAAAATAAAACAAGAAACTAAGACTATGTCCTGAGTAAGACTTCCCAAATCCGACTCAAATATGTAGGCAGGAAATGGGGGAAAGGTAAAAAGGAAGCCTGACTATCTCAGTCCTTGGAGATTTTGAAACCTATTTAGAGAAAGATGACCTCTCTTCCAAAGAACAAATTCCATTAAAATTTTTGTAAGGTGGATGAGACAGTCTAACCCCTCTTCCTTTTTTTTCCAAAAGGAGACCATGAGAACAAGAAAGGTTAAGGGATTTGCTCAAGGTCACATAACTACTGGGCAGAAATGATATTAGAATCCATTTCCTGCTTCTTTGCCTAGTCCTCTTTTCATTACATAAAGCTGCTTGATAAGCAGCTTCTAAGTCCCTTGTCCTGTGCTTCCTTTCTGCTTTTTGTTAACAAAGTACTCCCCAGGCCTTTTTAAAAAATTTTTTTATTAAGGTATGATTGATATACACTCTTGTGAAGGTTTCACATGAAAAAACAATGTGGTTACTACATTTCCCCATATTATCAAGTCCCCACCCATACCCCAATGCAGTCACTGTCCATCAGTGCAGCAAGTTGCCAGAGATCCACTATGTCCCTTCTCTGTGCTATATTGTTCTCCCTGTGATCCCCCGCACCATGTGTACTAAACATAATACCCCTCAGTCCCCTTCTCCCTCCCTCCCCACCCGACCTCCCACACCCCTCCCCTTTGGTAACCATTAGTTCATTCTTGGAGTCTCTGAGTCTGCTGCTGTTTTATTCCTTCAGTTTTGCTTCATTATTATACTCCACAAATGAGGGAAATCATTTGGCATTTGTTTTTCTACACCTGGCTTATTTCACTGAGCATAATGTCCTCCAGCTCCATCCATGTTGTTGCAAATTGTAGGATTTGTTTCTTTCTTATGGCTGAAGGCTGAATACTATTCCATTGTGTGTATGTACCACCTCTTCTTTATCCATTCATCTACTGATGAACACTTAGGTTGCTTCCATATCTTGGCTATTGTAAAAAGTGCTGCAGTGAACATAGGGGTGCATATGTCTTTTTGAATCTGAGAAGTTGTATTCTTTGGGTAAATTCCAAGGAGTGGGATTCCTGGGTGAAATAGAATTTCTATTTTTAGTTTTTTGAGGAACCTCCACATTGCTTTCCACAATGGTTGAACTAGCTTACATTCCCACCAGCAGCGTAGGAGGGTTCCCCTTTCTCCGCATCCCCACCAGCATTTGTTGTTCTTAGTCTTTTCGATGCTGACCATACTTATTGGTGTGAGGTGAAATCTCATTGTGGTTTTAATTTGCATTTCTCTGATGATTAGTGATGTGGAGCATCTTTTCATGTGTCTGTTGGCCATCTGAATTTCTTTTTTGGAGAACTGTCTCTTCATATCCTCTGCCCATCTGTTAATCGGGTTATTTGCTTTTTGGGTGTTGAGGTGTGTAAGTTCTTTATATATTTTGGATGTTAACCCCTTGTCAGATATGTCATTTACAAATATATTCTCCCATACTGTAGGACGCCTTTTTGTTCTGTTGATGGTGTCCTTTGCCGTACAGAAACTTTTTAGTTTGATGTAGTCCCATGAGTTCATTTTTGCTTTTATTTCCCTTGCTTGAGGAGATGCATTCAGGAGGAAGTTGCTCATGCTTATATTCAGGAGATTTTTGCCTGTGTTGTCTTCTAAAAGTTTTGCATGTAGCTGTCCAGTTTTGCCAACAGCAGCTGTTGAAGAGGCTGTCATTTCGCCATTGTATGTCCATGGCTCCTTTATCATATATTAATTCACCATATATGCTTGGGTTTACATCCGGGCTCTCTAGTCTGTTCCATTTTTCTATGGGTCTGTTCTTGCACCAGTACCAAATTGTCTTGATTACTGTGGCTTTGTAGTAGAGCTTGAAGTTGGGGAGCATAATCCCCCCAGCTTTATTCTTCCTTCTCAGATCCCCAGGCCTTTAAACAATAAAGTATCCCACAATGCCTAATTGCTGCCTGAAAGAATCCCATCCTTAGGTATGGGCTGAATGTGTTTGAGGGAATGGTCAAGCTAGAATAGAGTCTAGACTTTACCGCTTCTCCCTTCTTTGGGATGGGAAAAGAAGAACTAGTCAGGCCCCAACCTCCAAGTCACCCTCACCATGCAGAAGGGCTGCAGTCTGCCTGTCCAAGATCTCTGGTGCCCCCTGTAGGATTCTCTCTGTCACAAGGGTAGCGCAGGACCCCACCAGCTCAACTGAAACATGGCAGGTAGGGCAGTGGGTTTGCTCAATGGGCCGATGGTCTAGCACCTCTGCGACTGCCTCCTCTAGGGCTGCATCACTTCTGTGTGGCAAAGTGGGGTGTGGGGAAAAGAGAAAGAAAGATAGGTAAGGGTACTCCAGCTACTTCCAACCAACCTCCACCTCACCCATAAAGGAAAACCCATAAGACATATTAGGCAAACACTTAAAACTGGTCACTTCTACCTCTGCCTCACTTCTCTCTTCTCTTTAATGTTTTAACTGAAGTCATCTTTAAATAATGTATAAGTGAACTTGGTGAAGTATCTGCTACAAATATCTTATCCACATATTTGATGTCCTTTGGGGTTGCTTTTCCAATTGACATCCTTGACAGCCAACATCTAAATCTCTCCATTACCTTAATCCACTTAATACCCAAGTTCCGTCCAGGTCACCAGACCTGTGGTGTCTATATTCCTATCCATTCCCTCCTTTCCAATCCTCTGCTACTGGCTTATTCTAGGCCATCAACCTCTCTCATCTGGACTATTCTAATAGTTTCTTAACCAAAGACCTACCTCCAGTCTTGGGGCCTCCTAAGCTATCCTTCACAATGCTGTCTGAATGATCATTTGAAAAATGTAAATTTGGTTCTGTCAGGACCTGGAATAAATATAATTAAGAGTAGTTCCCCACTGCCCTAAGGTGATGCCCAATCTTTTGGTCAGGCCTACCATGTGTCCATGATCTGGCCTCTGCCGACCTCTCTAGTCTTACCTTTTTCCACGTCCTACTTCTCCTTCATAGCTTATGCTCCAGCCATGCAAAACAAATTCCAGTTCCTCATTCACCAAGCTATTTCATGCCGGCCTGCCCTTTGCTTATTAATTGCTCTCTCTGCCTAGATGCTTTTTCTAGCCTTCCCATTTTATCTTACCTCCCCACTCACAGAGCAAACACCTAGTACTCTCAAAATAGATAAAGGTATTAGGTATTATACCTAGTATAAAAAATATTAGGTATTATAACTCTGTTAGTAAACCTCTCCTGACACCCACTAGTCCCCTCTAGAATATTTAACCATTCCACCCTTCATGTACCTACTATCCTCTAGAGTGACAGTTATCACTTAGCTCTAATGCCCATTACAATGACCAGTTTGCCTAGTTCCCTTCTGACTGAAAGCTTAAGAACAGGTCATCTGTCTCACCTTTATCAGTTTATTAATTAGTGAATGGATAGATGGATTAATGCCCTTTGGCTACCCTCTGTCAATGCCCTGCTGCAACCAGAGTACCCAAGGAAAAAATATTCATTTCAATGTTGGCAGGAGTCAGACAGATTTAAGAAGGTCTCATTATTCATGCTTTTTTGGAAGCTTTTCCAGTCCTAAATTAGGAATGGAATTATTGTAGGTATGTACATTTGTTCAACAGACATTAATGAGATATTGCCTTATGTAGGAAATAATTTTGCTAACTTTTTAAAAATTAGAGTTGGAACCATTATTCAAAGGCTTCTATATACTAAATCTGCCATGAAATCTTAAAATGATGACACCAAAGACAGATAAATCATTTCTGAATTATCCTTAATTTGAGCTCTCCATGTTTCTATATGGAGAACTGCCAATATTTTCTGTTGATTTATATCTGTTATGAACCATCAATTATGATTAGCCTATGAGATCCCTGAGAGCAAAAACTTCTTTCTCCTCTCTTTATTTCTTACTCATCAGAGCTGAGCATGGCACAGGATAAGTACCAGCTTAATCTCCTTCCACTTACTTGGGTAAGACATGATGGTCAACAAGGGTGAGGGTGAGTTGGCCAGCTTGGTGCAATGCATGGAGGTCAATCTCATCCCGAAAAATCAAGAGGGACTCTGGAATACCAATCTTTTGTAGGAAGAAGACGTTGTCACCTCGTAGAGGTAGTTCAGAACGCATTATATTCAAAACTGGCACAAAGACTTCCCCAACCTCTGTTGTCTGGGTAGGAAAGAGACAAGAATATATGGCAATGTTTTGGGATAGACAGGAAAGGTAACAAGGCTACTAGGACCAAGGGAGACATGATCTTAGGTAAGTTACTGCCCTTTTCAAAGCCACGTTACCCAGTTAATCAAAATAAAAGGACAATTCTTGCCCTCTCTCCTTTCTAGCAATGACATTATGGTCAAAAGGAAAACTCATGAGAAAGACCAAATTACGGATGCTGCAGAGAAAAGGGGTTATCAGTCCTCAAGAACTGACCTGGGCACGAGGACGACTACACACCAGATCACTAATATCTCTAAGGAACTCAATAATAAACTGTTAGAATATGGCTTTATGGTTTATAAATTCTTCAAAATACATTTATTCTTTTGATCCTTGCAGCAACACTGTAAAATATTATCATCTCAGCTTTTGTAGATGGTGACATGAGACGCAGCAAAGTTAAGGGATTTAACTTACCCAAGACTAAATGCTGTTACGTAGCAGAGCTAGGTCTTAAATCCAAATCTTTTCATTCTAAGATACTCTGCTCCAAATTACTCACCTTTGCCAGGTAAAAAGCCAGGGTGAGAGCTGACACCATGGAGTCCAAGTCACAGGCTTCATTTCCCAGCACAACATGTAGTGGTTGAGATTCCTAGAGAGCAAGAAGAGTGGGAAACTAGAAGCATCTCTGTCTGTTTCCATTTACCTTCTATTCATGTAGGGCTTCACACATCACTGATGTTCACAGAAAGGGTAGGTCAGATAATCTTATGGGCCCTCATTTCATGGATGAAGATATTAGCCAAGCGGGCATATGTGTTTTAGCTAAGCCTGAAGCATTCCACACAGCTAGCATAAATGTGAGTTTTCTTCTCTGCTACACTGTCTCCTTGAATGTTAACTTACACAAGAACAACAGTGAATAATTCTCTGATTTATTCTACTTCTTTGGGCAATTGAGGAGAAATCAAAGGTAGAGCATTTGGGGTAGCTGGTATATCCAAGCTGAATCAACCCTTGTTTTTTTTCCTTCTGTTTTCCAAATAGCAAAAAGACTCTTTATGCTTCTAAATCATGAGAATAGGTGAAGAAACTTTGAAAATAAAGGTAAAAATAAGATCTAGTCTATGATCCAGTTATCCAGGCCATGCAAACTCTACCTACGCAGAGAAACATCCATGACAACCAGAAATAACCCACACTCTCATGACCCGAGAAGCAGACACTTTCCCAACAGGTACAGATTAAAGCAAGAACATGTGCTGCTGACACTGCCTGCACTTTTATTTTTAAAGTTTTGAAAAGTCCTGCTGCTGTAAGAACTCTGAGGAAAGGATATCTGTTATTATGTTCCCTTGTATCTCCCTTTAAATAAAATACACTAAAACCTACAATGCCCACAACAGCAGAGACAGGGTTTGGTTCTGTTTTGAAACTTTTGGAGAGTGTTATTTTTAAGTGAATTAACTAATCATTTAATCATCAAAATAATCCAAAGAGGTGGTTACTTTAGGAATTATTATTTCATTCTGGGTATGAGCATTCTGCCAGGTAGAATGAGACCATAACATCCATGGCTCTGCGTAGGCCATGAGAATTCAATTTTAACATTTACTTCTGAACTTCTCTCTGAGGGAGAAGGGCATAAGGGAGACAAAATGAGACACAATGGTTATGGCAGGATTTCTTAATATCCACACTATGGATATTCTCAATGGGGTAACTCTTTGTTGTGGGGCTGCCCTATGCATTTGGGATGGTGGGTGGCATTCCCAGGCTCTGCCCACCAGATACCAGGAGCATCCTGGTCATGACAATCAGAAATGTTTCCAGACTTGCCAAATATTCCCAAGGATGTTGCAGACAGCAAAATCACCCCAGTTGAGAATTACTGGGTAACAGAAAGGTGAAAATCGAAATACTCTGGCTTTTCAATTTGGGAAGATTTGCAAGATGGAAGAGTTAAGGAAAGTGGGAAAGGGATGCAGAGAAGCAAAACACAGCAAGAAACAGTTATCAAGTAATCAACTTTAGGAAAAAAGAGAACCTAGCGGAACCTAAAATTATCTTCCCTTTGTTGGCTCTTACCAACTCCCCTCACTCCTCCAGAAAGCTACAGCCAGAAAGGGTAATTTTAGAAGGCTTGTGGTGGTATAAATTGCCCTATCTAGTAATGAGATAGATTTTTGTTTTTAAAACACCCTCTTCCCCATCTCCTACTCCCACTCCTACAGAGAAGTAAAAAAGGCTGAGGGTATCTGTCAAGGTTTCAGACGAGGGGCTTCTGGGGAAAGTCTGCCGTCAGGGTATTCTCTGTGCCCGTTTCTCTAAGCCTACTTCAAGAGGGTGGCAATCAGGATCCATTCATACTGAACAGTATGGGGGAGGGGAGATTCTTTTTAAACTCTTTTCCAACACAATACAAGAATTCTATACCCAAGATCCCAGTCCTCTAGTAACTTATCTGGGTTGCAATGAATTCCTCATCCTGATACCAGAGAAGGCCCCCCTGTTTCCTGGATCCCAAGAACTGCCCAGATGGCTGTGGACCAACGGACCAACATGGCAACAAAGCTCTAGAGATAAGTGGCTGCAGATATAACTCGCTCAGTGAAGCAGTAAGGGTCCTATGTTCTCTAGGGAGGGAACTATACAAACAGTAGAGGTCATATGGCCCTGACTCTGGAGAAAGAAAAATAAGAGCAGGGAAAAGGTAGAGCCAGGAGAAGAAACCTACAGCTGGGCACAAAGAGGCCCTTGAAGAAGCTTTCCAAAAACTCACTTATGTTAGTGTTGCTTCAGAACAAGTGGCAGCTGATTGGCATCAGTCAGATGCATCCCCAGCATGGAGAGAAGGCTAAGCAAAAAAAGCAGAAAATAGGGACCAAATGCAACCTCATGACTCTTGAGGTGAGGAAAAATGATATTCAGAAGGTGAATAACTAACTTCTTGTGCTCAGCCAAGCTCAGACAGCAACCAAAAGGAACTAATACCAAAGAAATACTCTGATATTTTTCATAAGCCTTGTAACAGGAGTAACAAGGGAGGTGGTGGCATTCCTTTCCTCTGTCAGCATGCACCATTACCCCACCCTGACTGGTCTGTTTACCACCTGCAAAACATGATGTGCACATTCCCAGCTTGGCCCTTTGCCCTATTTGTTCTTTGTCGGAAACCAGCAGAACTGCCGTTTGAAAAGACCACAGACTGCGGTTGAATCCCAGCTCTGCTTTTTATTCGCTGTGGTACGTTGGCCTCTCTAAGCCCCATTTTTCATTTTTAAAATGAGGCGAATACTGTAATCAATTCCATGAAGTTGTCTGGAGGCTTTGGAGGAAGGAACACCTAAGTGCCTACTCTGTACTCGTAGAAATGAGCGCCAGTCCATCTTCTTTCCCTACTCCTCCCTCTTCATTCATTGCCTTCCCAAAGGCCCCCTCTTTCTGTGAAGGCTTCGCTGACTGCCCAGGCCTCCGGCTTCCAGCAACTGTGGCTCTCATAAGGGACTGCTACCATAAGGAACCAGCTATCTTTTCATGGGCGTGTATCACAGATGTTTAACACAGTATATATTTTATTGTTCAAACTGGGGCACCTGAAATGAGAAGGGGTGCAATTAATGATTATGCCTGAATAAACTAAGGCTTTCCTGGGCAAACTGATATAGCTGTCCAACTTATCAGGCACTATTCTTCTCCTCATTTAGGAAAATCATGTGTAACTCTTAGCCCCTACCTCATCTGCCACCGGCTGAAAGCACAAACCAAACAGCTTCAGTTTTCTATCCATCACAGGAAGAGTTCAGGGCAAATACAACTATACTTAGAGCATGAAAAAACCTGAGCTTCCAATGAACAAATACAATCTGAGAGCTACAAATAAACATCAACTCTTTTTCTTAAAAAGCAAAAACAAAACAACCCACTAGTTGAAAAGACTGTGTCCTGATGTTCATTGTGGCCTCAGTGGGCAGGCAGGTGGAGGAAGAGGATGCGCTCTAGGGCTGGCAAAGTCAACCACTGCCCTTGAAAAGCTGAATATGTCTGATGCCTCCTCTACAAAATAGTTAAGGAGAGAGGAAAAAAAAAAAACAGACAGGGAGCCAGAGATGGGGAAGCTTTCCCGGCACAAAAAATGAGACTAATGCTGACACTAGGACTGCAAATGTCTGAGCCAGCCACTCTGGATTCCTGCCTCTTGCCTAAGAAGTACAGATGGCATGTTTTATCCAAAGGCTTCTGAATGGACTCCTAAACCTGAATGCAGCCCTACCCTGCAGTGAAGATTTTCCCCCTAGAAGTGAAAGGTGAGTTACCATGAATAGGACATTAAATAGGATTTCTTTTACATGGGATAGCCTACTATCCATTGTGGCAGAGGCTATAGACAATCTGTGGTACTAGATGCTAAAAATATGGTATCGATTGGAGAGCTGGCTGGGTTATCAGCTATCTCTCGGGTGTAAAGGTCAAGCATTCACAATTTCCCAAAAGTTATACTATAGTTTAACAGAAACATTCAAATGTAACAGTGTCTCTTTCTAAATTATATTTTTCATTATATAAGCAACAATGGTGCAGCTCTGGGGAATTGGAGGGGATTGGTGGAGGATATCTTTTTCATATCCTTTTTGTATTTGAATTTTTTTCGCTATGTACATTTACTACTTTTATAATTAAAAACAATCTAAATTGTTGGCGATCACCAGTATATCCTGCCACCAGTTCACCTACTAACATTCCTTGAGTCTAATGTTCTCATTTCTCCCAGCCCTTGCTAGGTTGTCTGATGATGAGAGCTCTAAGATACAACTTCACCTTAACAACCTCACAAGTTCGGAAAAATGAAGATCTGTATCTCTTGCTCTTAGGTGGGATGAAAGCAGGCAGAGAAAGCAGGGTACCAGCAATATGGGAAAAATCCAGTATTCTTCAATTTCATACTCCTGTGGAAGATACAGTGTAAACCTGAGGGGATGAAGGGGGGCGGGGAGAGCCTCTGGAGGGTAGACGCTGTAGGAAAGAAGCATGCGACAAAATTCTGCTCAGTGAGGTTTTCAGATCCAAGGGCTCTTTACTGGTGGAAAGAGACCAGTCATATGGGTTATTGGAGGGCGGAAATCCAACTGCTTACTACATGAAATAGTGCCACAAAGAGTTCTAAATTGCCTTATGCATTAAAACAAATTTTCCCCAACTTTTTATTTCACATGGAAATATTTGGTGTAATTGGTGTTAAAACTGTGCTTCACCCCTATTCTTCAGGTGAAGACATTCATTATGCCAGCAGCTGAGTCTGCAGAAGGAATTAGGTGACTTTTAGGATATGTTAAAGGCCAGAATCTATCATCCAGAGAAATCTGTAGAGTTGAAGATACTTTCAAAGAAAGGCATAATCAACCATGCGTCTAGGTGTTCTGCACGGGCGGTGTAACCTGAAGTAAGGGGGCCAGGTGACCTCCTGGAGCCTCTCTCTCTGTTTTGCTGCTAACTGGGTATAGAAGCCTAATGCGGCATGGCTGGGAGATTC